ATATTGTTGAAATATAATGTGATAACTTGGAAACGATTATTTATATAAATATGGATCATATTAATACATAACTACATACGCAAAAATTCTATATTCTATCATATTGCTATTGAAATACAAATTTTTCTTTTCTAATATTACGTATTAAAGTTTCAAAACCATTTGGCATATGTAAGACAGTCACTACAGAAACTTTGATATAAATTAAATATGTATCGGTAAATATTGCAAATTTTATAATTCTATTCTGAGTTTCTGAGATATAGTCAAGTAAATTTGGAGGTTGTATGGCAGCTACTAGAACCAATACCACGATCATAACCAACTTAAATAGGGTTCTGGTATTTACCATAATAAATAATTTGTGAAAATTTGCTGAACTTAGCTCAATTAGTTTTCGTTCGGACGAAGGGACGAATAGACCAAGCAAAATCGACTCAGAATTCGACGCGGATCAACAACATATACTTCAGTCTATATCTCAGACCATTATTTCTTAGCGTTACAAACGGTAAGGCAAATTTAGTTTACCCTTCGAACATACGTTCGTACGGGTATAATCAACATTGAATCTTCAACATACACATTTATTACGAAACACTTTCCATTTACAAACTAGTCCAACATACTCCAGAAAAATTTGAAGATTTATATTCCTGTAACAGGAAATACTACGAATTCAATATTTTATAATATTGATATAGATTTATTTAATTATATTTGTATAAAAGAATTATATTAACATAACATGATTTAAAACAAAAATTGAAAAATTACTTATTCTTATTTAAATTGAAACACATTTAAAACTAATAGGCTATCAACGTCGATTACAAGCACAGAAAGATTCTAAACTTTGTCGAATTCATATAAAAACATCTATTAAAGGCTTAGTTATTTTGACTAACTATATATCTTGTATGATTAAAACAGTTCAATAAAACAAACTTCAAAAAACATATTACAATATACTTTATACCGCTAATAAACAAGTGAAAACACGTAAATATAACAAACAAAATATTTGCAACATATTAAAAATTTTTTTTTTATATTGACGAACTCTGTAGAATGGTGATATATTTTTCTTTCGCCCACTACAGTACGTACATCCTTCGGAAATTGCATAAATAATTATTGCATGCTTTTGGGATTATGAAAATTTAAAAAAATATAAACATATCCCTTTTGACCGCGAATTAGGAACGTTGGTGACATGACATTGTTTATCATTAGCCTTTTGCTCTCATAACAATTTGAAAAAGCTATTAGGTGGTAAAAATTAAATTTTTGCTAATTTTGATTTCTACAACGGCTAGCGAGGGTAATGAGTATTAAAAAATTTTTTCCTAAAGAAATAAATTATTATGAATTATTATGAATTATTATATTTACGTCTAGAAGTTGAATAATGTCAAACTCTTTATATACTACGAAATGATGTTATTAATTTATAATAAAGTTGGGTCAAACCAATGGTTTGTATTGTAGCACTTTTCCGTTAAACAAGTGAAAATACTGCTTTTAAATACAGTCTATGTATGTATACTTATCACGCTATTAAAATTATTTTCATACATATACAAAACTATTTCTAGGATTGCATATATTTAGGATGAACGATTTATGCAGTCTTTGAAATAAAACAAAAATTAATATAAAGTGGGGTTAATATAATGCTCGATTTTAAGGGTTAATTGTGTGAGTTAAGAAAAATATATACGTTTTGCGTTTATAGAAATTTAAAAAAGCTTGCGGTTTCGGAAATATAAAGTGTCAAAAGGCCATTTTTAGAGTTTTGTGGGGTAAAACTTCTAAAGGGGGGGGGGGGGGAGATAAGTAAAAATTTTGTTCTACGGAAATAAGTTTCTAGTAAAGATATACATATTAAAGATGTACGTATTAAATTTCAGCTTTCTATTTTCAAGGGTGTAAAAGTTTTGTAAACAAAAAAAGTTTCCACGGACGGACGGACAGAGTGAAACTAATAAGCACTTTTTTTCAAAAAATTTTTGGAAAAGCGCTAAAAAGCGGGCTAAAGACAATACTTAATTCCAACGGCTAATTTTTCATTGTAATATATTCGTCCATTTTGCAGTAAGAGACGCAAATCGCAAATTTTCTACATTTGTAGATTTTAAAAAACGATTGCGATTTGAGCATAAATTACCAAAAGTTCAAATATTTATGTCTTTTGAGCAAAAAGATGACTTCATATTTTTGTCACGTACTTTGGCCAATATGTCCTTGAAGGACGATAAGAACATTCAAAGATAAAATTTCTAAACCAATAAAGTTATCAAAGGATGAAATTAAAGATTGGAAAATCCTCTTTTATATTTTTATAAAGCAAAACACAAACCTTTGGCCCTTTTCGAAAATATAACGTGCCTTTTTAAAAAATATTAATTTAATTTATGGAATAACCGTTCTTTTTTAAAAAGTATCGTTATTGATATATTATTGATTTTGCTTGCTTGAATATAGAAATAATAACATTGCATATTGCCAATACAAAATGAAACTGCTAATTATAAAATATTGCAGTGTCGGGTATTTAAACTTAGATATTGAGAATATTATGCAAAGTAGACTTAAGTACGTGTCGTATTGTTTACTTTTTTCTTTTTATACTCTAAAAATATAAATTTATTGTCATACTTCTTTTGTTATGTTTTTTTAATGGTTGGTTATACACTCATTTGATATGATGTATAACGTGTAAATTTCAGGCGTTTTATTTTAATTTGAATGCTTTTAATACACAAGATGACATTTATTATTTTAGCACTTTATTTTTTTCTTTTATATTTGTGCATCAATTCAGTAGCTTGCTATGTGTAGAATGCTGTTTCTGCACACTTTATGAAATCTGAGAAATTTTTTTTTATTCATACACTATACGTAAATATGTAATTATGACCATATTATATTAAAAATATGTAAGTATATATGTGACATTTTACCTGGACTGAAAAAAACTCCATTGAAAATTTTTAATTATTTAATTTTTTTTACGTTTGTTTTTCTTTTAAACCAGGCGTTTCCTTTTCTTCTCAGGTTTGTTTTTATCATTTTTCTTTTATTTTTTTTGTAATTTAATTTTTTACTAATGTCGGCTTACTTTAAAGATTTATGTAATGGTGGATGATCTTGTAAGCTAAATATTGTTTTAAAAAATCACATTAAAAGGCATAACATTGTATAACACAATTAAATAAAATTATAGTTCTACATATATACGTATCTAAGTCACAGATTGTACATTATATTACAATATTTTATTTTTAGTTATTAAACTCACCGGATACTTGTATTTCTGTATACACTCATACCAATATACGTACATTCATATATATAAATATTTACGGAGCTAAAGAAATTTTACATGCATAACGTATATGGTGTGCCAAATCTTAAATACTTTAAAAAATAAATTTGTTTCTCCATCTGAGTTTCATATTGTTAAATCATGTAATAAGAACATATACATATAAATATTCATATATGTTATACACATTTTGTATATCCTAACAAAATAGATTATTTTTATTAGATCACTTTTAAATAGAATGTTATATACTATTTTAGTTCTAATATATTGCAAGCTGCTTATTTTAGCTTTAGAAAAGTTTTATTTGTGTATCGTTTAACTGCCTTAAACAAATGAATATTATTTCCAATCAACTTTATTATACAGATCTGGTATCATTTTAAAAATATAAAAATTACAATAACATTTTTTTTGTCTCAGAAATTCATATGTATAGTAAAATCCAATATTTTTAAAAGAGTAATTTAGAGAATTATTTAAACTGTCTTAAAATCTGTTACAAATTTTATAACAGAAAAGATATCTTTAACAAAATTTTATCTGGTTTTTTCTATTAAAACCATCAAATGGATGGACTAATAAGAAAGATGTTCCTTGTATCAATATTTCATAATAATATAGACCCAAATACAATGACAAAAATTTTTAAATGGTAAGAAAATTAAGTACAAATTTTGCCACGAGTCATATAAAGATCAAAATATTTGCCGTGCATTTATCTTCACTTTTATACATTGTGCAGTAAAACCACATCCATTTCAATTTTTTTTCTTTGTTTCTACTTGTTTCAATCAAAAATGATGGTTCATCTGCATTTTTTGTTTTTATTTAATAATCAATTCACATACATATGTGTACCTATATTACATTACGATTCCTTCCTTTTTGAAAATTAAAAACGAAAATGGTGTCAAATTTTATGAAATTAAATACATATATGTGTGTATGTATGTATGTCCATAAATAACAAAAATTTATGGGAATACATACATACATATATGCATCCATTTCATTCTGTTATAAATATCTACATACATATGTATACGAGTATTATAAATAACTAATTATTTTTATACAATCGGCTATTTTGAAAATTCTAATATTAAGAAAAAGGTTTACATATTTTAAATGTAAAGACTAATTTAGCAAATATTCAAGTAGATGTTACAATTCAAATATGACATATTTTTAAATTTCCAATACAAATTCCAATAGAAAATGTGGGATCATTTTGGTTGATCAAATGTGTATGTATGTATTACAATTTCGAAACTCATATGAGTATACTTAATTTACGACAAAAATTAGTTTATTGCTTTCTAATAATTGGATATTTAAGGAAAGCCTACTTCTTATTTTTTTTCCTCTGTTTTTCTTTTCAATATTGCGATTTTTTATTTTTCATCCATTTTCTGATTTTCAGCTAGATGAAAAATATGAAATTCAAATCTAATCCAAAAAAGAAACATAAGCATAGCGAACATAAGTATCTACTTTCAACGGTGTACAATACTTCTCAAATATATTTTGTAACACTTTAAGACAACAGTCTTGATTCAAAAGCTTTTAAAGTACACATTTTTCAAGATAAGAAAAGAATATTTTTATAAAAAAATTTAGAACTCATTTCTAATTTAGGATTATAAAAGGTAATAATTTTAGTTATTTAATAAATTTCCTCCTCTACTCCATTTTCGTTTCTACCTAATTCTGATGCTTCCACAGCACCTTCAAACACAGTCATTTCTAAATTGATATCTTTCTCTTTATATAAATTTGTTTCAGTTTGGATTATGTTTCTATATTTTTTCCGTGAATCACATATATCTGGATCTATGTCTTTTACGTCCTCTTCTTCACCGTCATCATCGCTCTCTACAGAAACTTCTTCTGTATTCACAATTTCATCTTCTCCAATTATTTCCTCTTCCTGATCAATTTCTTCAATCACTTGGTTATGAATAAGTGCCTGATCATCAGATTCATCTTCAGGTTCATCATCTTCAATTGAAAATACATCATCTTCTTCGAGTTTCGAGATGGGATATATTTCATCCATATTAATTTTTATTCCTGCATTTTTAAAAACTAGATTTATCTCTCGAATTCTTCCTTCTAATAATTTAACACGTTGGAGTTCCCTTTCGAACATCTTAAAAAAAAAATAGTATAAAAATTGTTTTAATTTATAACTTGTTTGTTAATTTACTGCAGATAACAGAGCTTTATCTTTGGATCCACTCTTTGTAAATGCTTCATCAACCTTAATCATGTATACATCACCTTGCCGTGTACCAACCGCTAACAGTTTGCCATCCCTTTTAAAAGCAATAGTTGATATAGGTGCTCTAAATTGGCTCATTGTGAAAGTTGGTACTTTTTGATCTAATAAAACATCCCAAAAATCAATATTACCATTCATATTTCCTGTTACAAAAACTGAACATCTAGCAGGACTCCACACAGCACAAGTTAATTCATAACGTTGTTGGGGAAAACGCATTATAGGGAAATCTTTGCATTCTTCACTGTAAATTTTAGCTAAAAATCCCCCAATAATTAGAAAATTTTTCACAAAAAAAATATTTCTTTCGATTGATACGATTGGACCATCCATGACATTAAAATTAGATGAAAGACACTCCAAATGTGTGGTACCTTGTCGGTTTCCTAAGAATAGTTGCCCTTTTATTGTACCAGCCATGAATCTTACGGGAATTGTGTACTCAAATTCTAAACATGTGCAACCATGACTACGTCCTGGATCTTGTTTTTCGGCTTTTATGGGATCTAAATAAACTTCAAAGGTTGGATGTCGTAAGTTGCGACCATCCCAATAACGAATTAAACCGTCAAGAGAGCCTGTATAAAATTCAGTATTTGTTTTAGAAAATACCCAGCAGAAAGCCGTAACAGCATCTTGATGGGCAACTTCTAATGGTGATATCGCTTCGGGATCACCATTTACTCTTGCATCCCAAAGAGCAACTGATCCACTCTTCAAACCACCAGCTATAAGATTATCATTTTTTGGGCAAATTTTCACTTTTGTTGCTTGAACAGGTGACCGCAATGTTACATACGGTACAAGTGGATTATGACAATCCCATATATAAAAATCATTTTCGTAAGTAAACGTTGGAAACGTTTCAAAAATTGAATGAGCTGCAAGAAAGCGGGATTGTTCTGTTGGTGTCCAATCTACTTGAGAAACTGGTCGTGTTGGATACTTCAAATCATGATATATTTGAACATTTATTGCTTTAAAATCATTTTTCAATTCCAAAGGTAAATGTTTCGAAAAGTAATTTTCATAAATATTTACAACGGCATTTTGCGCTACGCTGTGTAATGTTGCCTGTGCAAATTTATTGTATTGTAAATTGATGGTAAATAAAATGGTAAAAAATCTAAATAAATCTATAATAAAATACATGTGTCAGATAAATTGTATGAAGACATACGAGTACATATGTACATACATATATAATTATTTATCAATATCTTCGTTTTTAAAATTTACACTATGCAAATTCTTTCAAATAACTTACATATTTGAAAGAATTTGCATAGTTCGAATAAAATATACTTACATATGTATGTATGTATAAATGAAAACTATCAAAAATTAAACTGCCTTTACAATAAAATTTTTTTTTTAAGATTTTCTTTTAATGATGGAAACTTATTTCAGTGTATATGAAGGCACATCGGAGATTTTTTTAAACAATTTGTGCGTTTGTAAAACTAAACTTAAAAATATTGGAAACTTTTCCAATATTCCCTGAACATTTTTCTTATTTTTTTACCGAATTTATTTCAATGAAAAGGAAAAAATTATCTTAGTAAAAGTAGGTTTAAAGTAAGAACAACACTTGGTAGCAAATCATAAAAATTTTCAAGAGCCTTCAATAAAAAGGGTATCTACAGTATGAGTCTCATATTACTTGATGAAATTTTGACAATTTTCTTTTATTAAAAATGTTAATTTTCGTACTTGTTATAGCTTGTATCCATAAAATCAATCATATTCAAAACTCAATGTACCCATTAAATTTGATCATTAATAAAATATTTACTTACTAGCGTACATACATATACAGTGAAACATAAACTTATTTCTAATTCCTACGCACTAATAAAAATGGAGTACATGTATGTATGTAGGTATATTAACACATGAATTTATTATTATGTAAAATAAATTTTGCACACATCTGTACAAGATCACTATTAGAAATTTATTTGAATCACATATTATACCTTAGCTAAAAGAATACACTGCTTGCCCCAATTATCTTCCCTTTCAACTTTTTTTCTGTGTCTAATATTTTGTTCTTCATCTAAATGATTGATTTCTTTAGGCCATCCCCCTTCTGTATGGTTCATACTACGATGTGCTATAGTTACATTGTCTGTTTGAGCTTCAGATATAGCAAATTGTTCAGAAAAATTAGTAGAACGGTTCAGGGGATTTTTTAAAACATAATTTTGATAAAAGTAAGCATGATTTGAGCGCTCATCAAATAAAACCTCATTGCGATCTGAATACAGCGGCTGACGACCAAACCTTTTTCGCGGTCGTGTAAACTGAAAAATATTCATAATGAAATATCGTTTAGATATACATACATGAATGTATGTTTATTAAAAATTAATGAACTTCGCTAAATATGTAAATATTTTGAAAGAAGAAATCGGTTTACTGTGAATAAAATTATAAAATTACTTTGTACATACATAATTATTTATAATTATATAATTATAAATAATTATGTATATACATAATTATTTATTATGTATCCAAGTATAGCTTAATTATTATAACTTAAGTATATCTTAGTATAACTTAATTTTTATGCACCATTTATATGAACCATATTTTCTGCTAGAATTTCTCCCACATGCACTTCAACTTACGTATAATGATCCTTTAAAATATTAGCGTTTATTTGCATGAATTGAAATGGCGTAAATAAAGTTAATTAAAATTTGCTTAAATAAAATGATCTTTAATTAAAAAGAACCTTAAAATGGTATCTTTAGTTCTAAAAAAACGTTATTAAAGAGTCAGAATTCGTTTAACTTTTTATTACACTTATTTTTTTAAAAAGTGTAAAATATTCTTTATGGAGAAGTGTCATTAGCTATACTTTTCAATCACCGCTATTAACCTTTAGTAACTTTATTAACCTGATAGTATCGCAAAAGCAATTACATATATTTTTCACTAAAAGTGCATACAGCATAGAATTTTTGCTCAAATTTCACTTAATTTCCTTCAATTCCATTCATAAACATTTAATATAAAAGAAAGTTATTTATAACTAATTTTATTCAACTATAAATTTATAAATTTTATTTAAACTAAACCGAGTTAACTAAATCACTTCCAGTAATAATACTATTTGACATTATTACAATTTTTGATCCAAACATATTTGAGATAAAATCACATGCTGCAATTTCGGCATAACTAACTCCGCCAACTACAAAAACAAAAAGTGTCTGCTTGATTGGAAAAACATCTTTTTGCAATCCTTTTTTGCAATCAGTTTGATATGATTTTAAATTAACACCATATCCTAAAGAGTTAATATAGCATTTAAAGTTACTCAATCCAGTACCCAGTTTAGTACACAACTCGTCGATATTTTCAGCCTTCAAAAGAATTGACGATAACTGTGCCAGAAGAGGTATATAAATTCCATTAAATACATAACTCGGACAAGTCTTGCTTGAATCATTTTTATTTTCATTTGTGATAGAACTAGGTAAAAGTTTCAAACGATTTGAATTTGCTTGAAATTCTGTTTGCTGAAATTTTGTGCCAATTGGTAAGGCTCCCAAAAATTTGTTTTTTTCTAATGGTAAGTTTTCCATTTTAGGTAGAAGTTTGCAATTAGACAAACTCTTGAAGATTGATAAATTTTTATATCCAAAAATATTGCAATAATTTTGAACAAAAGAATTTAGTTCATCCACATTTAAACCTAAGCAAATATGAAAGAGACACAACAAGCGAACAGTGTTTAGTTGATGCCCATCAGTTATTGAAATTTCGTTAATTTTATCCAAAATCTCTTTACGGTTCACTCCATTTAGAATATTTTCTTCTAATTGCTGTTGCTTTTGAAAATTTTTAGCTAGTTCTTTTATGACAATTTCACAAATATTCATGTGTTTCATAATTTTGTTTTTTAATGAAGTTACCTGCGGAAGTTTATTTGCGACATAACTTTGCATTTCACTAATTTTCATTTGTGATAAATTTTGCAATTCAGTACCTAGTGATTTTGATTGTGCTTGTATTGATTTGCTGGCTGCTGCAAAATGCTTATATCGATTTTCTCTGTAAATTTTGTCATATTTCCCTGACATTCGCAATGAAATTTTCTCAATTCCATTCACATTACTTTGTTTATCAATATTAGAGGTTGAACTAGACTCTATATTTAAAATATTCTTTTTCCCGGCTGATATTTTATTGGTTTGACTACATTCTAGCTCACCAGAAGTGCATTTGAATACTTCATGTAGTAATCCAGAATATGTTGTTGGTGAAAGCAAGCAAGATGTGTAATCTTCTGAACGATCTACGATTTAAAAAATAAAATGCAATTATTTTCCAAGTACGCACTAAAAAAATAAGTACCCACCTAAAATTAACATAGCCGAAGACTCATTAAATTTTTCACATGAAAATGGCTTTGACTGAAACAATTTGGACACAATTTCCATTATTTTTACTGAATTAAACCCAGAACAAATTGTAATTTCGGGTTGTCCAAATACAACATGAAAAGTTCTTATACTCTGTGCAATAGAAGTTAGAATGGACATGTCATTTTTCACGAATGCTTCACTGAAAAGATTTGGAATTTCTAAGCATAATAATCTATCATCTATATGAACGAAATCCCAATTGAATCTGTAAAGCTCACAGTAACCGTAAAGTCCTTCTTCTTCTACAAGTGTTTGGAAAGACGGGTACACATCTGGTACAACAATTATGTGAAATTTTTTAATTCCAGATTTAATTTGACTTTCATCCTTTTGCGAATGAATTTGATCTAGCACGAGCTTCAGTAATAATATATTAGCATTTATAATGTAAACATTAGATTTATTCTCAACTGGAGTTGCATTATTTTGATCGAATCGAAAAATTTTATCAACGCCTTTGGACCTACATAAAAAAGCCATAACTGATTCAGTCAAAATTGTGAGCAGAGGTTACTTACCTAATCCAAGACGCAGAACATATATGTTCCAAAATTTTAATAATAGACGATTCTATTATTATATTTTTAGGGTTCGGTATGGAACATAATATTGTTTGCAACTTTTCTTGTGCCAAATATTTAAAAGCTTCAATGCGTTTATTAAGAGAATAATCCATTATTTTCCATAAGAGAACAATTTTTTATGCAAAATGAACTTGTTCCTGTTATCCACTTATGTATATTGTCACATATACAACTTTGTTGTTAGAAAATTATTTAGCGGAAAAATTATTGTTTTATTATTTTTAAAAATTATTCATTTAAAAAAAAATAAAATTATAATGAAAACAATAATATGTCAGTTTTGGGTTGACTTATTCCCATTTCTCCAGTCTCCAAAATCGTAAATCATATTTAACATAAGGTAGTGTTTACATGCACTTTATGACACCAGACTTTGACTGACGGCAATATTTTGACAAGAAAGTAATTTTCCTTTACAAAAATTTTGAATGGGAATATTTTGTAATGCTACAACTTTATATGTCATATCTCAGATATAACTTTAATCTTTTGCTTTAATTAAATTAGCATAGTTCATAGATACAACAATTTTAAGAAAACTTCGTGATATTTCGATTTTCTCGATTTATTTGGTTTAAGTTTTGGTTTTAAATAAGATCTCTAAATAAAACGCTCTTTAAAAGGTGTTACTTTCAAATTTGAAAACGACATTAATTAGAAAAAAATAAATTTTTTTATCTTCTTCATATTTTTGTTCTTATTGCAAAGAATTTTATAATCATTTTGAAGATACATTTTGAAGGTTTTGGAAACAGTTGTTAAACTAAAAATTGCATGTCTGCGTATACCATAATTCTATTCTACTAACCATATTATATTGAATAAAAACCAATCGCATCCCTGATCCTCTACACTTTTAACTCCATTCTTAAAATTACACGCTGCCACATTGTTCTTTAATATTGATGGAACTGTCAATATGTAATAAAAAAAAAGTCTTAAATTATTGTCTTGTCAATTATACGTACAAGTAAAGTAAAAAATAAGAATGCAACTTCTTTTTTGTTTCAATTAGATAAGTTATTGTTATTTTTCAAGCATAATGTCATTTAATTATTTGGGAACAAATATTCATTCTATGGGTAAGTAAAAATATTCCATTGATTATAAAATTCTTTGCAATAAGAATTTAATCCACAATAATTCTGAATATTCCTATCAAGAAAATTTTAGTTATATATGAATACACATATCTAATGCAGGTATAAAAGAAAAATTTTTCTTAATATGAACTCAATAAAAATTATTGGATAGATACCAACCAGAATAATATAAACTGGGATATTGGTATATTTTATTAAATTTTTTTTTCTAACCCATATTTTAATATTTATTTTCCAATCGAATTTGTTTTTCCAATGCAAATTTAAGTAAAGGGATACATAAATAATGCTATAGCACACCATAGATCAATAGATTTTTGAAACTGCACTACTTATTAACATAAATAATTGAGGAATTGTAAAGACAAATTATATTGAAGTAGTTACATAAAATTATAGATTATTATTAATAATTAATAAATTTTCAAATCTTTCATATGCGCCCTAAATTTTAAGATCCTAATATGTGTTTATGAAGAAAAATTTTAAGTTTAGGAATTTATTCATACATATGTTTGTATTATTAAGTAGATGTAAGCGCTCGTTTTGTAAGTAGTTAGACATAATATAAAAAATATGTAATATGTATTATAATATATTACGGCTAACCGTAATACATTTTTTAATAATCTTAATATTATGAAATTTACTGTGTTAAGTTATGCATTAAATGCATATTATGTACATTCATGAGTTCGTAATTTTCTGTAGAATTTCATACCAATATTTAATATTTTTCGACAGGAATGCCTCCATGGAAAAGGTACAAATTGACAGCTTCGAAAGACGAGAAGCTAAAACAAACTTGAAACGTACAATTGGTATGATGTTATGAATAAAATTTTTTATTTATTCTAATTTATGTGTGTACATAGTATACACACAACATCGAAAAATGTCTTAAATTTTCAAAAATAATTGGAACAGTTTCAAAAGTTGCATAATATTTCCATGTATGGGGTTTTCTTAGGAAATGAAACAAAACAAAACTGTAAAGTAAATAATTATGCTTTGCTAAAACTCGTAACTATTGCCTTTTTAAATCTATTACTATTTTTTTCGTTTTTTTTAAATTATTGTACCAAGAAGCACGCAAGAGAAAAATATTGTGCTCATTTTGATTTCGTACCTATATAATATTAGTTTCCAAAATTTAAATAACTTTATTTTAGTTCCTTTAGTGGGCAACATGTCCAGTGGAGCTAATTTCTTGCCAACACATGCACCAAATACGAATTCTTATCCTTCCCATAATATACCTTCGACCGTACCACAAATTCCATTACACTTGCAAGCAGCTGCTTTAAATGATAATCCCTTAGAGTTCAATAATATCAAAACAACAGAATCAAAGCAAATTAATTCTGCTACAAATATAGAGTCAACAAACACTTTGGCAAATTCTAGTGCATTATTTCAAATTGGTAAAAGTGACACTTCACAAAGTAACAAACCGGTCGATTTAGATAAAACAAATGTCAGTAATTCAATTCATAATCAAGGCGCTGGACCAATGGATATCGAAACTGAAAATGAACGTTTGAGCAATGCTACAAGTACTATAGCAGCAGAAATAAATAAACGGTTGGCAAAGCGGGAAAACAAAGCAAATATAAATGTTGAAGATGAATGTGGTATAGTCTCAACACTAGACGGGATAAAAGCTAGCAATGTTCTAACAAATGGTGGGGTTATAACACCAAAATTATTAATGGGAAATGAAATATTTTTAAATAGTATGGTTGGAGTTCCTGGTCCTCCTCAAGCTCCTACAGGTTTTATGATGATGTCTGGTATGATGATGGATCCTGGTGCAATGGCAGCTGGTTTTCAAATGCAATCCTTTTCTCAACATCAATTATTACCAGCTCAATTGACTCAATTTGTTGCCAATCAACAACCTTTAGGTAACTAATTGTTAGCTGAATTTGTTTTGTTTATAGGTATTATACAAATTAATTTTAGGATCTAATTCATCGCAACTAGGTGCAATAGCACCACAAAAAATCAATGAACAGCAACAGAATCATCCTGTAAAAGAAGTAATTACCTGTAATTCTTGTGTTTTGTATCCACCAAACCCAAATGCACCACCTCCAACAATTAGAGAACGACCGCCAGGTTGCAGAACAGTTTTTGTTGGAGGACTTCCTGATAGAATCACTGAAGATATAATTCGTGAAATATTCGAGACTTGTGGTGAAATAACTACCTTACGACTATCCAAAAAAAATTTTTGTCATATTCGATTTGTATTTGAATCATCAGTTGATTCTGCAATTTATTTATCAGGCTATCGTATACGAATCAATAATAGTACTGAATCAAGCCATTGCGGTCGAATGCATGTCGATTATGCTCAAGCAAGAGATGATCAATATGAATGGGAATGTAAACAACGCCAACTGCAACGAGAACAAAGGCATAGAGAACGTATGGAGAGAGATCGACTACGTTCTCTTTCTCCACCACCTATAGTTCATTATTCTGATCATGAAGCTAGCAATATTACAGAAAAATTAAAAACTGATGATACGTTTATTAAAGCCGTGCAAACTTTAGTTGCTTGGTTAGAACGAGGAGACTGTAATAAAAAAAATGCTAACACATTTTACACAATGATTCAAAGTACCAATGCTCATGTTCGTCGACTACAAAATGACAAAAATGAATATGAAGAAAATTTGAAAAAAGCCCGAGAACAATTTCGCAAACAAATGCTAAATATGGCACAACAATGTAAGTAAACTTAATAAATAATTATAGCTTAATTCTACCAAAAGAAAACTTAAATCACTAAAATTATGCTTCCTTTTGTTAAACAAGTGAATGTTTAAATTTTTTTTTTCTTTCTATTATAGTTTTGATTTATTTGTAAACCTGTATTTATTTAGTCTTGTAAAATTATATTTTGAAATAATATGATATACAGATATATATGTATGTTACTTTAACTAATATTACGTTCCTATTAAATAATATTTTTCTAAAATCAAATTTATCGTCTATAGCCGAAATAAATTATAGTAAATTCTGAGAAACAATTTAAAATGTTGGAAATTATGTATACTATTACGCAATTAAATTAACATAAGGATTATTCTTGGGATATAAAGCAAAAATTGATTTTTTTTTATTAATAATTTGTAATAAACAATAATTTGTTATAAACAATATGCATATAATAATTTGAAATATATAAATATATTTATTTAAACACAGCAAATAGTTACAGCTGTAATTATTACGAAAACTAAAGATTTTTTTTTAAATTTTCAAAACAAGAAAAACACTGTAAATATCTTTTGTAAAAACAAAATAAAAGTTCCGCTTGAAATCTTTCGGTATATGTACATAATCATCATTACCAAAGATAAATGTTAGAATATAATACATAAACGCATATATCGACTGAAATTTAATTTTGTTTATATTATTAATTTCAACTTTATTTACGAGGTAAAAAAGCAATAAAATACTTATTTTTTTTATGTCAATTTATGTAAAATATTTTCTTTTAGAATTTGAGCTATGTTGTAACTGTTCTGGTGTTGGTTTTTAATTTATCATGGTTTTAAAGCTTAACAAGATCATCGTCTCATTACTCAATCTTTCATAATATCATAACATTGTACCTTATTATTAATTAAATTTAAGATCTTATTAAAATTTTTTTTAATGAGTTTTGGTTTAAAATACGAACAATTTTTGCAATATCCTAAGATTTTTTTTTATTTTTTTTTTTAACCTAAAAATGTGTCTACGATAGGAATAAAAAAAATAACAAAAAAAATATTTAAAAAAAATATTAAGGTACGTAAGTAAAAATTTCTTTTTCCAAATTTCAAAGAAATTTCACATTTCAATTTTTGGTAACTTACATAATGTATTATTAGAAAAACTTAGACAAGACACCAACAATCGATGACTTATAAGTGTATTATTCGTAGTACAAACGAAAAATTCCTAAAAACAAAAGGTAAAAACTACAAAAAAATGTTAATAAACTTACTTTATGCTTAAGTATATAAGAACATGTGATGAGTTCAATAATTTAAACTGATAAAACACCGGATCTTCTGATAGTATTATAGAAATAAAGAAAATTATATATTCATTAAAATTCGAAATTACTTTTTAACGTTTTGGTAAGTGTTGAAACTGTTTAACAAAAAATGATTACATTAACCTACTACAAGTTAGAAAAACAAAATTTATAAACAAAAAAGTTTTTTAATTTCGTTTATACATCAATTTTCAATTTAACGTTTCCAAACGGCATCAATATAAATTCAAAAGAAACTATTAAATATTTATCATAAATTTATAAAAGCTGCTGCATCTGCAAGCATTAAACTTTAATTTTTTTGTAACTGCAAACTACTCTTAATAATTCATCCCAAAAACAAAGTAAAACCTTTTTTTTTAACCTCCTAGTTACTAAACTTTAGACAAGAAAAGAAACAAAAAAAAATTCAATAACCACAGTTTAATATGCTTTTTTATTTGTTACTATTATCTCTATTATCCCTTTCCTTCATTCAGTCACTCAGATTGAAAAAGTGTTCAATGCAGCTAGTCATAAGAAGGTTTGGGACCATTTCACCAAAGCTCAAAGAAAAAACATCGACCAATGGAAAAAAACCTCAATGGTATGTAAAATATAAATGTAATGTATTTTGTAATTGAAAGCTCTTAAACAAATTTTTTAATTTTTTATGTAAATTATACATATTATATATATATATATTTTAAGTTATTTTAAAAGAAGTTTAGTTTTATTAATTTTGCATATGAAAAAATTTTGCATATTATAACTATGTACATACATACTTAATACCTATGTTTTTTATTTGAAGTCGCATAAATTTTTATTTTATCTTCATTTTAAAAAAAATTGTGATATTATATTTTGTTAAAAATTCTGAACGTTTCTAAAAAAACCATTTAAAAATTTTCGTATTATGTTTTATATAAAAAAAAATATGCACATTATGGAACTTAATCATCAAATATCCACAAAAATTAAAGATTCCGGTTTTTGAAACATAAAAGGGCTTATAATAAAAGGCGCATTCAAAAATCAGCTTATCAAGCTTTATATTACAGTATATTTTTTTTAATATTCACATATACATAAATATTATGAATATACTGTCTTGGTAATTTTCAATTTTACCACTTTATGTATATTATGTTTTTCTTTATAAGTCATCGAAAAATACGTATGAAAATTCTTTAAGCATAAAATTTAGAAAAGAAAAACATCTTTCATTTTTACTAAACTTAGTAAAAATCATGGAATAAAATATGTATATGGTAAAAAATAAGTTTAGACTTTGATATTTTAATAAAAAGAGTATTAAAAATATATGTATGTATGTATAAATATTATTTATATACATACTGATCAATTGTATATAAGATTAAATATAATATATGATATAAATTATATTTATACTTAAAATAAAAACATGTTTTAAAAGACTATTACATTCAGGATATTCATGAAATGTTTAAAGGTAAGTCCCATAAATATTTAAGTTTAGTCATAAAATTTATTATTTGATTGATTGTAAAAATGACATTAAATATCAAAAAATTTTATTTTACGGGATTTATGGAAATAATTTATTATTTTTTCCCACATATTAAATAAATTTCCAAACCGGTTTGAAAGTTGTAAGGTAAGAATTGCGAAATTGAATTGTATATAACTATATACATATATGTATTTACATATAAGATACTAAAAAATTTAAGTAAAACTCTGAATTTGAATTTCCTATTATAGTTTAAAGTGTAAAGCAAAATTCATGCACTTTACGATGTTAACAAAAATATTAAGTATACGAACGTATATACCATTTTTAACAATATTTATTTTAAAATCTAAAATAAAATAGCTTCTAACTAATATATGTGAACTTAAATAAGATTAGTTATCATACAGAAAAACGACGACAAATTTTAATTTCTTAATCAATGTAATTTTATCAATAAAATTTAGGTTTTACTTGTTGACTAGGTTGTGTGACTTTACATATTTTTTCCGAATATGTGCACAAGTAATAATGTGATTTATCAAAATTAACTTACATTAATAATAAGCGTAAATCAAACTCATCTAATCAACTTTCAAACTTTTAAACAGAGGTTTTCTTTTTATCTTACAAAACACATAATAATATTATTGTAATTCTTTGTCCAATAGAAACAAAACTAGTAAAAATATATTTAAAAGAGCAGTTTAGTACTTAAGAGCGAATAATAACGCACATTAAAAATAGTATTGTAAATGTATTCAAATATACTTTATTTAGGTTTAAATTTCCTATTACAAAATGTTTTGTCATGCTTTATTTGTACGTTATTGTTATGTTTAAAAAATAATCGTGAATCTATTGTATACATATGGCATAAATAAAATTTAAAATAATGACGCAGTTCAACTAAAATATGTAATATGTATAACATAAAATAAAAAAATTTGGCACACTTCAAATTCAAAAGTAATGAAAGCTTAAGATTTAAACTTGATGAGTTTTACTTTATTAAGTATAATTTATAAATGTAACTTATATAATAATGATAATTATCTGGTCATAAACTTGTATATATATCCTAATTTTTCAAATTTTTTCATGATTTACTAAAACAATAGAAAAGAAGAAAAATTTTCTGTTTGAATATACATTATAAGATTAGGTAAGTTTTTAAATAAAAAGTGATCTATATGGGTTTAATTTAGTAGAGGAGTAAAATTCATGCATTAATTTGGTTATTACATTAAGCAAAAATAAAAAAATATAGGTATTTTGACAAAATTAATTAAATTTTTATATATCATTGGTATATAAACACAAATATAAAATTTAATTTTTACATTACTTACTTATTAATCGTATTCAAATTTAGGAAATTCGAAGTGTTCAAATTGAAGATGATGAAATGGAAATGTCTGACGATGAACGTGAAAGCCAAACAACAAGTACTAAAAGAGCGAAATATGATAACTTGAGGGTTTGAATTTTAAAAGTATGAAAATATTTTGAATTATTTCCAATAAATAAATTTTAGGATGAAAATGATAGCTTACGATGTCAATTAGAAGCATATAAAAACGAAATGAATCTTGTCAAATCAGATCAAAAATGTGATTCAGATTTCAGAGAAAAACAAATTAAAGTATTGCAAGAAACAATTCGAAATATGCAAACTCAATTATTAGACAATAAGATAAAAGAAAAAGATTTTACAACAAGAATATCTGATTTAGAAGAGAAATTAAAACAAGCGAATGTCAAAGAATTGTTGTTAAAAACAAAAATTGCTAACAGCAAAATCTCTTTATCCTCATCTAAGTCATCTGATAATTGTGAAGATGATGACAATAAAGAAAAAGAGTCTGTTACAGTAGAATCTCAAAACATTTTGTATACAAATGCTACTCAAGTGAGTAATAGCTTTTTAAATTTTTTAATGTATAATAAATGGTATTTGTTTAACTTTTTTGTGTTTAAGTTAGCGTTATTCACACTTTTTTCTCTTATTTAACAGATAAAACAAGAAAATTACTCCCCTCAACATCAAAATACAAATGCACAAAAGTCAATTGATATTGATGAAGCTCATATAATTGGATTGGTTTCAACTTTTTTAGTTGTTCATCCTTTCGGAGCAAGCCCAGATTATATTTGTTCATACCTACAAAAAATGCATCCAAATTTACGATCAAGAGACTTAGAAGAAATTTTAAGCAAGTACAATAACCTTTTTCATGAAGAAATAACCGGGATAGGCATGAAGATAGAAAGAAAATGGAAATTTTGTGGCTTTGAAAACCAATAATCTTTCAATGTTTCGAAATTGATTGAAATGATTTGTAAATTATAGAAACTAAATTTAAACTTAATATGATATTTGATAATAGAAGTAGTCAAAATTTTTTAATAGAAAAACTATTAAAATTTACAATAATGTCAAAATCTAATGGGCCAGTGGATATCTGTTTCTTAGAAATTTTACAAAATTTGTCATAAAAATTTTTTTCTTGTATTAATTTATAATACAATACATAAAATATTTATTTAATTAAACCTTCAAATATTTTTATTGTTCAAATTATATTACAATAAAAATCTTAAAAATGAATACCATATTTTTTTTCTCTCTACCAGTCAAACTTTGAAAACAATTCTGTAGATTACATATTCAACAATACGTTCGTAAATATCCGTGAAACATACTAAAGTAAAAAGAGCAACACATGCCCTAAATTGACTGCATTTCCGAATACAATAGCAGGTAATAAATATGAATCTACAAATTTGAAATCTTAAATACGTCCCACAAAAGCACAATAAAATATATTGGGTTGAGCTAGAATTCATTAGCGAATGGTAGGAATTGTTACACAAGAGAACAACAAATTTATTCGATACTAACATACATACCGAATCCAACTGCGAGGTTAATTTCCCAAAAACCAAATTGGCATTAATTATTCAAAAGTTACAACGCAATCAACAATAGTACCTAGTCCAGATTAGACTGTTGCAGATTAAACTAAAAAATATGGTAACAAAAATAATAATAATTTGCAGTAAAACGAAAGAAAAGATTTACCCATAAAGATCAAAGAACATCAATGAAATGAAAAGGTCTTGTATTGACATACTAAAAGACGAGAACCACAAAATAATTCTAGACCCAGACGAAAGATTGTTGATGTAGCAAAAGTATATTGAAGAACTGTTCAATGACATTCGATCAGAAAAATCAACCATAGAAAATACTGAAGGTCCAGATATTCTAGTAGGCAAAATCAAGGCCATAGTAAATAACGCAAAAAATATGTTAGCGATGGGTGCAGACCAAATTCCAAATGAAGTATCATTTCTAAGGAATGACTAAAATCCACTTTAAAATTGTTGCTTTGCCCAAAAAAACAAAAACTGTAAAATGTGGAGACTTTAGATTGATAAGCTTAATGTCGCAAGTGCTGACAATTTTCTTAAAAGCCATACATAATGGCATATTCAGGAAGCTTGAAGAGTAGGAATAAGAACAGAAGATGGTTCATCGGATGTAATAGATATTAAAAAAGGAGTTAGACAAGGATGTATTTTATCACCACTGTTATTCAATGTGAAACAAAATCAAAATGGAATTACGATTAACAATATTCGATTTGCTGATGACACTGTCCTTTTAGCAAATAACGTAAACGATCTACAAAAGCTGCTCAATAACCTAAAAACCCAGTGCAAATAACATGGCTCATGGCATGACAAAGAAACACAAAATACATATATGGCAATATCAAAAAATTTAGAGCCACTAGAAGGAAAAATTGTTAGTAGAAGGAAAAAAAATTGGAAAAAGTGCAAAGAATTCGATACCTGGGTGCAATGGTAGACGCTAATGCATCCAATCAATGTGAAATACGTTCGAAAATCCTGCAGACAAAAGTAGCATTTAAAAAATTAAAAAAATATTATGTAGTAGGAATATCAACCTCAAAGGAAAAATCAAAAAAATGAAGTGCTATGTTTGGTCTATTCTACTAAATGATGTAGAAACATGGACTATAAATCAGACGCAACTAAATAAGAATGAGGCTTTCGAGATGCGGTGTTACCGGAGAATTCTGAAAATATCATGGCAGGATAAAGTTACAAATGCACAAGCTCTAAGGCGAATGAATTGTTCAAAAACTTTGGTGTAAACTGCAAAAATAAGAAAAATGGTACAGAATACTCCAACTAGTATTACAAATCAAAATCTTAGGTGTCCGACACCCAAAGCGGAGAGAAATAAGAACTGTTATTACTCTTTTTAAAACAATACCACGTCTGATAGAAATGCGAGGTATATGTACTTACATATATACACATAAACATATAGTTTTTTCGTAATATCAACGTTTACATGTTAATCAAAGATTTCATCAATCATGATTGATATTGATAAAGTTTGACCATGCAAACATAATTTTCATCAAACTTTATTTGACATTTTTTGTGTAGTTTTTCATTACCGTCCAAATTCAAATTAAAAAAAAAATTTAAACGTTTTTTTTTGACATTTCAATTGACGTTTATAAAAACTTCAGTCCTAAAGTTAAGTTGTTCAACTTTTCCAGAGAGAAAAAAAAGTTGCACAAAATAACACAAAAAAATCAATATATCAAATTTCCATAAAAAATACATCAGCTCCTCGTAAAGCAGACGAATCAATAAATATATATAGATTGAAATGGCATTTCAGAATTTTCTTTTTTAAATCTAATTGTTTTCATTTCGAGTTTTATATAAAAAAAAAGACTAAAGTCAAATAATTCCTATTATATTAATCATTAGAAATCATTTTTAAGTTCGAAATTAGACTATATTTAATTTAATTTAACCTAAGTTTGGAATACAAATGAATTAAACATTATGTTTAATTGGAATTGCTATAAATTGCATTTGCCTCTTCAAATTTGTTTACAACTTTTATACTACTCAGATATCATTTAACATGTTGCCCAGCTTGGTTAAGTTGAAAAAATAAAAAAAATTTTGATTTGACTTAACCTCAACATTCAATTTTCAAAATTGTTGAGATATACATATAATATCTAGTTATCGCTCAATTTTGTATCCCACTCAACCAAGTTGATCAACATGTTGAAGAATGTACGGCTTCTGTAGCACTATAATACTACCTGACTGCTAATATAAACAAATGTTTATCAGTCAGGTAACAAAGAACACAAATATGTATTAGATAACACTTTTTGATAAATCTTTTATCAACTGTGGATCTTTGTACTGATGAAAGAAGTTTCACTAGCTCGCTTCAAATAAAAAAGAACAAAGAAGCCTTTCAAATTTCAATTGTCTATTCTTACTAATTAATCCGCTCTCAAAGCTTCCTGGTATGTAGCTGTCATGTGACCAAAAAGTAATTCTGAAAGAAGATATCTGACAAATAACAACAAAATACTGAACATTTGAAAACAAAAACTGGTTAATCGGGTTAACTGATTACATATTATGTATACATATGTTAATTAATTTTTTTAATTTAATTTACTAAACAGTCTTTCTTCCAAAATAACTTCAAAGACAATTTTTAAATTGTGGTGATGATCTAGTTTGGATTATACTGAAAACATATGTTTAAAAAAACGGACTATGTCAAAGACATCACTAAATAAAAAAATCATTAAAATAACACCATACCCAGATGAACTTGTTCCATATAAACGAGTTAAGTGCCCGTTATGTGATAATGTTTTCTTAAACTCAGGAAATTTGCTGATGCATTTAGCTCGTCATCATAAAAATTTCAATGGCAGCAAAGGTAGAAGGCTGGAGGCTCTGCCAAAAGAGGTTAATGAAGAAGAGTATCAGAAATTATATTTTTGTCCAATAGAAGACTGCATATACAATGAAAGAGTTTTGAATGGTGGAAGATATTTCACCAATATGAAGTACATCAGACAGCACTATCAAAAAGTTCACATAGAGGTCAGTATTTTGTGACGAATTTCGTACAAGAACAGTTTTATAAAAACGCAGTTGTATAATTGAAAAGCTAGTTACACTGAAAAACAAAAAAAAATTAATTATTTAAATTTGTCAGAAAATTTTCATATCCCCTAATCACGTCAAAGGAAAATGTATATTCAAAATGTATACAATTCATTTTAAAATTTTTGATTTCTTTTTTAGAATTTTGATTTAAGTTTTAATCAAATTTATTTTATAATATTAAAGTAATTATCGATGTTGTTGAAATTTTAGAAATCTTTTGCCTGTAAAAAATGTTCAAAAACTTTTTCAACAATCGGAATTCAAAGTGCCCATGAAATAATATGTGGCAAGAAATTCGAATGTGGAACTTGCGGCAACTATTATACGACAAGAGAAGCTCTTCTTACACATACTAAACGGAAGAAACATCAACCATTTGAGGAAACTGAAAAGAAAACCGCAACCAAAGTACCCATACCAAAATTACAAAGCAGCAACCCAATAGAAAATCATAACCCAACTAATGAAAACAGTTCAGAAACTCAACAAAAATTTATGCAAATACAGTATTCAAATGAAAATATCAACTTAAGCGAAATAAAGGTAAACCCAATTCAATATATATATTTGGTTAAGGTGGCTTTTGAGGCTAAAGATCAAGAAAGTCAAACCGATGAGTTAAATATAGAAAACTCATTCTCCAACGAACAGTACAATACAAATATCTGTCCAGTAAATGTAAATGTTGTTGAAAACAAAAAAACAGAGGCTAAGGAAATAGTAATTTCATCTTTGCAAGAAAGAGATATTTATCAAAATCAAGATAATTTCCAATCATATTATGAAGACTCTTGTTTCGATCAGCTGGTTACTGAAACTAATTTATGTGATATAGAAACCCAAACAGAAATACCATCGGTTCTAGATCAATTATTACACTATTCTAACACTCACACGCAAACATGCGACGATTTTTTACAGGAACTTTGTTTAGCAGATATACAAACTCAAACAAATTGGTCTATATCGAACGATTCGTTTTGTAGTGAAACTAATTCAAAAACAAATGAAATAAGTTACTATGCTTCAAAAGAAAATAAAGGGAAAATTAAAAAAACTGAAATAAACCAAGCAAATGGTACATCCGGCGCTCATGATGAGTTACTTGTTTCCACGGAAACCCAAACTAGTTTCACGCAATGTTTGCTTGAATGTGGAAATGATGATAATGTTACAAATGCGGCTTCGTGTATAACTCAACATACTCAAACTGATGAGTTATTATTGGAAGGTTTGTTTGGATCACAGGACGAAAATGATTTCATTGCAAATTTTCAATCGACACATACACAAACATGACGCGCATTTAATATTTGAAGTATGAAGCGAATGTGGGGAGAAACTACATCAAAACGAAAATACAAACGACTTTATTAAATATTTTTCTTGTGATTTATTCTTAAAACTATTTTATAAAATATTTATTTGTGATAAAACTATAATCAACACGTAACATTTAAAACGAAAAGAAAGATTTATTTTATTTTAGAGGTACTCATCTCAAGATCCGACCCAATAAAAATATAGGAGTTTTACAATTTTTCACACTCCATACATACAATTCTGTTTATAAATAAGTGTGTAACTACACGGACACGTTTATGTACTGTTCTTGTGTAAAAAATTTTTTTAAAAGTGGCATTTAAATCAAAATGTCAAAGCAAAATATTTTTTTCTCTGTTATTGCAAAATTATTCGTGTTTTTTATCCGCAAAAAATTATAAGCTCGTCTGCCGTTTGGTATGACACACCAAATAATTATAGCTCTATAAAAAAACCGAAATTTCTGATTTTGCATTAAAAAAGAGGGAGACTTAAAAAACCATTTGTGAATCCACTTTGCTTTATTTTTAATTATGATGCTTTGCTTGCTTACAACATTATTTAGACACTAGTATTGTGTTTGTGTAAGAGTAAAGATATATTCAAATATGGTCTTTGATAATATGCAGATGAGACGACTTTGCCATCAAACGTTTATGTCTCACCTTCACAATTAACCTAGTTATGCATGAAAATAAAATAACATAATAATCTTATGCAATGGAAAAAACACATGGATATATTACCCCAGATGATACACCAAGTTATTTAGCAAATCCACCCTCTACTGAGGTCGGCCCCATTACCTTTAAAACAAACTACTTGGTCTTGGGGCACTGGAACTAAAACTGCAGTCCGAAATCAAGGAGCTGCAAGATAAAAACTCTCTGAATACAAAGAATAACAGGACCAACAAAAATAATAGTGGAGGTAGTAAAATTAAAAACACGACGTCTGATGATTGTGAAAGTTCTGAGCTTACGCGTTTTGAGACGGGCAGTGCATCTTGTATGAGGCAATCCAAGCGGCCAGTGAAAAAAAGAAAAGCCAGAAGCTCTCCTGAAGCGGGAATGAATTATCCTAAGGAAGCTCCAGCTAGTACATGTGCTCTTAATTTGTCATGTCATGCTAAGATTTTTATCACACCAATAGATTTTGCAAAAGAAATCTGAAATGTGTGAAGTTTGGCGAAAATCATTTTACTGAAAAGTGTCCCATCCCGAGAAGCTTCACTCCAAAATGTGCAAACTGTGAAATCCCCCAGCCACTTACCGGGGGTGTCTTGTCGCTAAACCACTCCAAAAGAGAAGAGACATGTCAGTTAAAGTAGTTGGACGTATTGCTGTGAAAAATCCAGCTTCTTCTGAGGATCCTGTTAGTAAGAAGACACCAAATTAAATCATAAATAATGCAATAATACTTGAATTTACATTTGCCCAAACAGCACGGATAAATTCTCCAAATAATATAAGTAACAAACTTGCAATAAATATAGAAAAAAACTTGGAAAGTATATTAAAAAAACTTGACGAGCAAAAAAGACTGAAAAATACATCTGTTTTGAATTGACAAGATTGAAACAATCTCAACCTTATAATTATTTAAAATGGCAGACGCAATTAGAATTTTGAATTGAAACGCGAACGGGCTTTTATGCCTCGTTCTAGAATTAAAAGTATTCCTACACAATGAAAACATAGACATTGCCTTAATATCTGAAACTTACCTTACTAATGAAAGTTTCGTAAATATAAAAGATTTGTTTAAAAGAATATCATTCAATCCATCCGGATAATAAAGCTAAAGGTGGTGCATCAGTCATAAACAAAAGAAAAATCAAACATAGCATAGATACAAAAATATAAAAGATACTATGCCAGTTGCTTACATTAGAATAAATATGAACAACAGAGATTATAGGATATCATCTATTTATTGTTCGCCAAAACATAATTTAAGGATAAAATACCTCTTGAGAGCCTGGGGAACAATTTTATAATAGGCAGATACTTAAATGCCAAAAACAAATTCTAGGGATCGAAAATTAGCACTCCTAATTAAGAGCAAAATTAGATGTCTAACTAAAATGTGAAAAAGAAAAAAATTGAACTAAACATCACAATCAGAAAGCTAAATTTGCTGACGGGCAAATACTCAGGAGTCAGTCTGCACAATAAATTGTTAATATACAAGCAGGTCGTGAAGCCAGTCTTAAAAAGAAGTACATTTTTTATGGTGGCTTCCTCTATAATTAAGAAATGATGTTCATTTAAAACTTAAATTTAATTTTAACAAATTAGAAATACTAAAGGAAGGAGCATCTTTGTTTCTATCTCGCTTACACTCACTAAAAAATCGTATCTTGAAAAAAACATAGTGAAGCCAAAAACTTCAAGTCCCTTTCTTTGCTTCGAGCATTGTCAAACTGAAATCAATATTAAATGCCAAATGTTTTTTAACATATACATGTGAATATTCATATCAATAAATAAAAGAAATATTCAATAGTGCTTCGATGAATTCATAATCTGTAATTTTATTAAGTTTTTAATTTTGCAAAGAAAACATGTTTTTGTTTTATTTTAAATAAAAATAACTTCGAATGACATAGTTTTATCAGGACCGAATTTTCTTTTAAAGAAAATTAGTTTGTGTTTGATAAAATATGACATACATACAATGTTTTAATTTGGTCTTTTTTTTATAATTACAGTTACAATGAAATGAAAAGAAAGTGGATTGGGATTATTAATAAAGAAGTTCACATTTCAAATATTTCACCAAAAGTTATAATTTTATAATTCATAAAATAAATTTATTCAAAAAGAAAAAAAATAAGGAGTTTTGTTCAAATTTGATTTTTTAGTTTTTAGTTTAAAAAAAATTTAACTTATCCTTCTTACAAATTACACATATTTTATAGTTGGTGCCAGATAAGAAAACAAAATAAATACGCTCCTGTTACGACTTTGACAATTCTCGGAACAAAGCAAGAGACAACTAGAAAAAAAAATTTGGTTTCATTGTTTTTTCAAAATGCTCCATATATATTAGCTTATAAAAGTTTAAGCACGGTATTAATACAATTGTAGTACCGTCTCAGAGCTGTAAAATACCTTTGCATTGTAAAAAAAACTGCTAAAGCTTTTGATACATTTTGGAATACAATTTTTATAATATTAATACATACTTTAATGTTTGTTTGAAAATTTAAATTTAAAGTCCTGTGCGAAAATATATGCTCGTTTATTTAATTGGTTATTTCTGGCAACGCTTATATGGCATGTATAAGAAAAGCGTGCTCGATTTTTTGAATACTCAGTTAGCTTTTATTTTGCGTATCCACTACGTATAGAACGCATTTAGGGAAAGTGTACAATGGCAAGAGCTCTTACTTAATATTTTGGAATATGATACTTGGTAAGGTTTACGTTGTAAACGCATTATTGAAGTCAAGGTATTTTTTATAATTTTTTCTGTCTCCAATTTATTCTTTAACCTTTTCACATTTTAAAATCAAAAACTTTCGAGTCACATTTCGCGTCTAATAGAGTATCAAAAAAGTGCGACGTTACAAAAAAATATGACGCGTCTAGTAGAATAAGGCTGATAAAGGCCACCTAAAATTGAGACATCTGAGCTCCCACTTTTAGATTCTTCTAGAGTACTTACCGCAAAAATTTTTACCCCTAAAACATTTTATATTTTTATTATGACAAAGAAAAGTAAAAAATATTTGTCTTTGTTCTTACGACGAGTTAAATAATTAATTGTTTTACGCTAATAAAATGTTTATTTTAGAATAAAGTATCAATAAAAAATAAAAGTTTTATTTTAGTTTTAGTTTTCGTTAACAGTTTTCTTCTACTTTTTACAGTTTTCTTCAGTGTTAGTAGTCCCATTTCAAATTTTCACATTTGCTGCTAAATTGATAGATTATTTAAAGCATATAATCTTCCAAGGTACTTACGAAAATGGTTAGAAAAACCAATTATAAAAACAAGTAAAACGTTTCAGTCGGTATAAACCGATTGAATTATACCCTGCACCTTTCGTTGTTGTATAGGAATTATTCAAACCTGTGAAACCATTCTATAGAAATTTCATTGATATGTCTGACCTATAACTGGACACACAACTGCCAAGTTTCATAAGCCTCACTTTATTATTTTTCCAAATATCTAAAATTAGTTTTTGGAGTTATATGGCAAGTACGCGAACCTGTCAAGCAATTCCACCAAAACTTCAGAAATATCTCTGACCTATAATTGGACACACGACTGCCAAGTTTCATTAATCTGACTTTATTATTTTTCCAATTATTTAAAGTAAGCTTTTAGCCTTGTTTAGGAGCCACTGGAACCTGTCAAGCAATTCAACCAAAACTTCAGAAATATATCTGACCTAACACTGGACACACAACTGCCAAGTTTCATGAATTTGACTTTATTATTTTTCCAAATATTTAAAATTAGCTTCTGGAGTTGTATGGCAGATATTCGAACCTGTTAAGCAATTCCACTAAAACTTCAGAAATATATCTGACCTATAATTGGACTCATGACTGCCAAGTTTCATGAATCTGACTTTATTATTTTGCCGAATATAAAAAATTTACTTTTGGAGTTGTATGGCAGCCACCCGAACCAGTGCAGCTATCCCATTAAAGCATATGTAGAATATAATTGGACACATGTATGCAAAATTTTATATTGATACCTTTATTAGTTTTTGAAATATTTAAAATAAACTCTTTGAGTTGTTTGGCAGCTACCCGAACCCGTCGTCCGAATTAGCCCAATTACAATAGGGTTCGTCCTTGGCATAAAAGAAACAACTTGTGAAAGTTTGGTGTCCATTGCATTATTCGTTGTTGAATTCGATCGGAGGTACGGTCGGACGGACGGACATTTCTAAATCAACGCATAATTTTACGCTGAGCAAGAATATATATGTATATTTACATATCGCAGATGACTCCTTCAAGTAGTTACAAACTCCATATTAAAGTTGATATACCCTTCACGAAGTGTAGGGTATAAAAAAGAGAAGTATTTTGGCCAGTCTATTAATTTAATCAGTCTATGGTAACAACGTCATTCCTTATTTTTGTTATATATACCGTTACTAATTATTTAAATTGTCACTCAAAATCATATGTTTAATTTTAAAAACAAAGCTAATTATAATATAGATTCCTATGCTTACTGCTGATTTTAATTTAACAAAATTATGATTTGCAGATTATGTTTAGAGTATTCCAATAATGGTTTTAATATTTTTAATGAAAATGAAGAAGAAAAAATATGTGATATAATTGAAAAATATTTTTGGTTTAAGGTAAAATAAATTTTTAGTTTTATTTACTTTTAAAGTAAACAATTAACTCTAGCCGGACGAAAAGGACTCGCATACAAATTTCATTTGTGAAACTTGTTGGAATGTTATTAAAAATTTTCACATATTGTATGAGGAAGTTGAGAAAAAACATAAGAATCTAAACCTATTAAAAAAAGATCTTGCAAAATTTGATGATAACGACGAGTTTCAAATTAAGCATGAGTACAAAAGCTTAACCCTCAACAAGAGTGTGGATGACCTTCAACCATTCAATTCTGATAATGTGCATATATCAGCACCGAATTTTCATTGGGAAGAAATTAAATGCAAAGACGAAGAAAACAGTACTGACGGATTTGTGTCTATAGAAGGTATGAATTTGAAAATATGTATGTATGTATTCTAATTCATTTCAATGAATTATCTTGAAACTTAACCGACTTGCAAATATTTCAGAAACAGACCAATTGAATTGTCAAAATAGAAAGAAATTAAAAAAAAAAGTCACTCCAACTGCTAGAAAGAAAACCAGTAAAAAAGCTACTCCTGAAGCAAAACAAAAGAGCTCAGCTGAAAAGACAGGAAATAGATTTCATGAGGAAGATAAAATGATCACAAACTTTATAAAAATGGCTTGCGATATTTGTTCAAAAGAGGAACGAAATTTCTCGAATTTGAAAAGGCATTTTAAATCAGTTCACAACGAAAATGGTTATGTCATATGCTGCAATAAGAAATTTTTTAAAAGAAGTTGGCTTGTAGATCATATCGGGAAACATTTAAATCCTGAGAGCTTTAAGTAATACACCTATTTGTTTTTGAAAAAATTATTGAGTACATATTTTTTTATAAATTCCAATAAATATGTACATACATTATTTAATTTAGATGCTCAATATGCGGAAAGACATGCAATTCCCGTCGAACTTTAAAAGGTCACATCTTTAGAATGCATGAAAGTGATCCAAATGATTGTTACCAATGTGCTGAATGTGGAAAAGCATTTAAGCACAAAGATGTTCTGACACGTCATGCTTTGATACATATCCCGGAAGAACAAAAAAAGTTTAAATGCGAACAATGTGGAAAAACGTACAGAAAAATTATATGTGATAATTACACTGTAGTTCTATGCATGATTTTTTTTTTATTTTTTTTATTTATAGGTATCCTGTGCAAAGTTTACTATTTCAACACATAAGAATAATACACGATAAGCGGTATGCTGGTACTTGTGATATTTGTGGGAAAACATATACAAATAAAGAAGATGCAAACCGACATAGAATGACTGTTCATGAAGGTGTTAAGAAATCTAAAGTAAAATGCAAAATTTGTTCGGAAGAATTTTCAACTAAATATCAGTATTACAATCACAAAACTGAAGTTCATGGAGACCCAAATAAAAAAGTAGATAATACTTGTAGAATATGCAATAAAATTTCAGCTAATTCTGAAGCATTAAAACGCCACGTAGAAAAAGTTCATAAAAGAATAGCTAAATTTCATTGCACATTTTGCGACAAGCAATTTAAGACTGAATTATCCCTAAAGGTTTGTTTGATTTAACACAATTTTTTTTTGAAGTACTATATTTAAATAAACTTCTTCATGGTGTTTTTCTTCTTTTGACAAAAGGAACATACAGCCACACATACGGGAGAACCTTTATACATTTGTCCACATTGTCCAAAAACATTCACTCATAATGCAAATATGCATCATCATAGAAAGCATGCTCATCCCACGGAATTTGAGGTAGCTAAACAATGGAAAGAAAGTAAAAAACAACCATGGACGCAATTAACATCAATTACAAAATAAATTTTGGTTACCAATTGATAAAACTTTTAGTCATACGAAATGTAATGACATGTGCAAGTATTTTCTTCTAATAAAAAAAACTGCAATTTTTTGAGTAGAAATTTGTCACAAAACTTTAATTTTGTTTTTTCTATTTACAATGTCATAGGTTGTATGTCATTTTTGAACTATGTACATGATTTGAGCAAAGCTTGACTTGAATTGCACTATAACTACATGGAGAACTATCGATGACAACATCAAAACTATCGATAGTTAATAACTATCGAATGGACAAGAACGGAATATGGTTTTGAATTTCATGAATTCCGTAACGTTATTTTTAAACGTACACGCTAATTAACATTCAAATTTACTTATATGAGTGAAGTTTGAGAAATTTTGATTTCTAATTCTATGTTCTCTTATTTTATTTCATATATTCCGTGAAGACGTGAATTGAAGTTGGCATTGAGTTCTTAATATTTTTTCTTTAGAATGAACAAGAGAAAAAACTATGTCAAAATTGGAGTTTAACACACAACATGCCGTTTGAATACCGATTTTAACTGAGGGTTTACATAAACGAGCTGTTGGCATAAATATTTGAATGTATACAATAATTTTACTAATATTCTAAAATATCTCAACTTGCCAGTTTATTAGCAACCGGCAAAAAAAAATTTTTGGTTTAAGCATATGACAAGTTAGAAAATTTTAAAACAATAAACGATTTTTTATCGATAAAATAAAGAATGAAAAGTTAACAAAAGCAAAATATTTATTAAATAATAAAAATATTTAATGTTAATATTACAATGCTTGTGTAAACCGCTGATAAGTCTAAATATAGTCGATATTTTTTAAATAATATTAATTATATACTTGTTCTATTCATTCCATGTTTGATTATAACCACACTATCATGTATATATCACTATTATATGCTTTTTACAAATTAAATGGAGACCATACAAAATAATAAAAAAAAATAAAACAATACGGCATAATGCCAGGAAACCGACTGCATTATACAATACAGCAAGTTGCGTTATGAAACTATCGATATATCGCGATAGTTTTGCGACGATATATCGAAAATATCGATGGTCCAATATATCGACAGTTCTCTAACACTACATAAATGTGATACTTTTCTAACGAAAAACCTTCGAAAACAAGAATATAACGGAGCTTTTTCTGATGTTAGAAAATTGAATCATCTTGCATCCGCTGTTTTACAGCTGTTGCGAGAAAGAGAAAAGGAACCGATTAATTCCGGTTTTTAATAACTCACTACTCACTAGTTTTAGAACTAAGTTGAGAGCAAAGAATCATTGATTCACAACTTAAACAGAAAGAGACATTTATGTTCCATGTTGATATTTCATATGGGACTGGTACGGTAAATTTAAATAAAATCAATTTGTTTAGCGAATTAATTTCAATTGCGATCATTTGTTATTATCTATCTACAGCACATTATTCCGATTATGTACACGGTAAAAATTTTAGGAGACGATTGACCAAGCTTCATTAACCGTGTTTAAACGTTTTTTTTTAGTGAAGCTTTGAAGTTTATTTAAAAAAAATATAAATTTTTCGATGAAAATGATATCTTACGATGTCAATTACAAGTATAGGATTTTCAAATTTTGAAGTTGTTTTATTCTGAAAAACTTAAAATTTTTGAATAACAACTCATTACGCCAAGTGATGGGATCACGAATGACAGATGCCAAGAATTTTGCCTACGGGTGGCAGAAATTTGTTATTTCAAGTATGTGAATCAACAAAGTATGAGATATTACGTTGACATTAGCTAAAGCCGAATATATGTTGTATCTATCAGGCCACCAAAAAAAAATTTTTTTTTAGAGTATTCCGCGCCAATAAAATTCCGATTTACATATTTTTTTTTATGGAATTTTTAAGTGTCCTCATTTTATTTAGTATATGTTCAAAAGCCGTTCCATTTGCAAGGTATTGGGTATGACACGCATATCTCCTTGTTTTTTACTGTTATACCTTAAGAAAAAAAAAGTTATTAAGTCTCTAAAACGGAAAGCAATATGTCGGTAAAAAAAATTTAAACTTTGAATAGCGTTTTAAAAAAAAATTTAAATATTTTATTTTTATATTGTATACAAAAATAATATGTATACCAATATATATTAAAAAACAAATAACTGGTTGACTGTATAATTTTATTTTTAATAAAAAAAATTTATGAATATATTTCAGTTTATTTATTGACATTTTAATGTCAATGGTCTACACCATGGATGGCAATTAAAGGGCACGCGTGCCAAACTTGGCACGGAAAAAAAATTTGATGGCACGTTATAGTTGTGCCTCGACAAATTTTTATATAGATTTTTTTTCTAATAAAAAATCTAAAAACTCGTTGAAAAATTGATTGAATGAAAAATTTCCTAAAAATGATAATTTCCTAATAGCGAAATGACAAATATTCAAAACCAAACATATTCAAATGTTATATTCTTTTTATTTTTGTTTTTTTTTCACTTCACTAACCCAGCATTTACACGTACAAGTTACTTGCAAGAAAGTTGCAATACATACAAAAATTTTACTAACACATTGAAATATTTCTACTTGCTTGTTTACTTGCAGTTCAACTTGCAAGAAAATTTTGCTGCCAGTAATTTGACATATTGAGAAATTCACAAAAAAAAATTTGTTGTTTTGATTTTTTTTTTTTTTTAATTTAAAATTTTTGAATTTTGTTTTTAAAAAATTAAACTTAGCAAACTTATGGTTTCTAAAATTTATAAACAATTATATATATTGCTAGTTGTTTTCTTCTCAAAGACATTTTCAAAAATCAACTTGCTAAACGCCTACGTCATAATAGCAAGTAATTTGACATTTGGAAAAACTAATTGACAATTAATATTATACAAACTTGCTTGCAAGTAACTTGTATGTGTAAATGCTAGGTAAGTAAAGTATTGAAAAAAAATTGAAAACGAAAAAAAATTCAAACCGCTTTGAAAATGCATTGAGTATTCAAAAATTTCAAAAAAGAAAAAACATAGTAAACTTTGAAGTTTTCTTTTTAAAACAAAAAAGTTGTGGTTTTTAGGGTATGAAAAATTATCCATATTTCATTTGGAGCGAAGTTAGCAAGAGTGAATGTCATAATTGTTTTTCTGAGTTTACACAACACGTGTCGTGTTTAGTTTTTTACCGTTATTTTTAATTGAAAATACTTCTAATAGAAAGTGAATGAAAAACATCGACCAATTTCTAATGCTAAATATTTTTACAGGTGTAAACTTGATTTCGGTAATGAACTAATTTAACAAATAAACATTATTTAAATATATATAATTTTTATCGTGTAATTTTAGATTTAATTATTTACCCCATTAACATGTCACCAATAAAAAAACAAAAACTACAGGATGTTCGCAGTTTTTTACCATCTTGGACAATTGATTACGGCTTTATTAAACATGGAGATAAGAGTCGTTGTGGTCTGTGTTCCGAAGTTATTGTATGTCGAACATCTTCTATTAAACGACATTTTGAAACTAATCACAGGGAAATTTCTGAAAAAAATATTGCCGAAAGAAGAGAATTAATATCACAACGATTAAAAGATGTTGAAAAACAATCAAATTTGTTTTCAAGATTTGTGAAAACTCCTAATAATATAACAGAAGCGAGTTTTGAAATTTCTTATTTGATTGCTAAACACTCGAAACCATTTTCTGACGGAACGTTTATAAAAACACTTATGTTAAAAGCTGCTTCCAGTTTGTTCCAAGATTTCAATAATAAGGAAAAAATTCTCCAAAGAATACAAGAATTACAGATGAGTAGAAATACTATTAAACAAAGAATTTTAAAAATGAGCATTAATATTTCCGAACAACTTCAAACCGATATTAATAGTTGCGATTTCTTCTCAATTTGTTTGGATGAAACAACTGACATAAACTCGTCTACCCGATTAGCAATTTTTGCACGTTATTCAAAAGGGAATGAAATACGCGAGGAGCTGTTGAAATTAGCAAATATACCGGAAAGAACAAGAGGTGCAGATATTTGTGAAGTTGTTGTTAATGAATTAAAAAGCCTTAATCTCAATTTAAAAAAAAATTGTTTCTATTACAACGGATGGAGCACCTAATATGACTGGTCCGGCAACAGGGTTTGTTAATTTATTTCAAGAACATGTTGGACATCCGATTATAAGATTTCATTGCATCATTCACCAGCAAATGATTTGTGCAAAAGTAGGTACTAGCGATTTAAAAGAAGTTTCAGAAAAAGTTAATAAAATTATAAACTTTATTGTTGCACGTGATATGCACAAAAGACAATTTAAAAAACTTTTAAATGATGTCGATTGTGGATATGACACTCTTTTAATGTGCAATAACGTGCGTTGGCTGAGCCGGGCCATATCTTTAGAAAAATTTGTGAGCTGCTTGGATAAAATACGTCTGTTTTTGCGTGAAAACAATAGGGTCGATTTTAAAGAACTTGATGACATAGAATGGCTAACAAAATTAATGTTTTTCACTGATTTAACATTACATTTAAACTCTCTAAATAAAAAAGACGATTGAAGTTATGTTTGGACTTATAAAGGGGTTTGAAGTTACACTAGATATTTTCATTAGAGATATCGAATCTGGAAAATTTGAATATTTCCAAAAACTAAAAGTTTTTTTTGATGAAATACACATTTTTGAAAAAACTAATTGGAATTTCACCTATGAATTTACAAATATTCTTGTTTCTATTAAGCAACAGTTTGCACAAAGATTTCTCGATTTTAAAAGGATCGAAAATATTTTAAAAATTATTAATTACCCAGATTTATTTGATATGCAAGATTGTGACAATAACCTCCTTAATTGGATGCGATTAGATAATTTAGAAATGCAAATTATTGATCTGCAATCCAATCCAATTTGGGTAAATAAATTTGTGAATATGCGGAAGCTTGTTGAAGATTTAGAAAGCCATCGATCCCAAAATGTGGAATCAGAATGTTTCATGGAAAGTAAAATTTTAGAAGCTTGGAAGTATACCAGATACCTTTTATTCTGTCAAAAAATTAGCAATCTCGTTGTTAACGATTTTCTCTTCCACTTACTCTTGCGAAAGTCTTTTTTCCGTTTTGAATCATGTACATTCAAAGACTAGAAACAGATTAACAGAGGAAGATTCGGCAGCATGTATTACTCTGCAGTCAACAATGTACCAGCCCGACATAAAAACTCTTGCAAGTAATATGAAACAAAAAGTTTCTGATAAAAAATTAAATTAATATTTTTTCTATCTGTATTTATTAATTTTTATACCTTGAACTATAATATGTATAAATAAATATTATTACAACTTGTCATAATATTGTATTTACCTAACCATACCTGTACTTGGTACTGTGCTGGCACGGGAAAAAGTGTGACAATAAATTTCCCCAAATTTTGGCACTTTGATCAAACCCTATTTGCCATCCCTGGTCTACACAATGATTCTTTGAATAGAGGTAATGAAAATTTTTCTATTTATTAACAAATTAAATGGGCTTTTATGCTGCAAAAGAAAACAAGAAAAAAATTAACACAACTGAAGTAAATGGCAAACCTGGCAAATATGATTGATGAACAGTTTTTTGTATTCACAGAAACATAACTCGAACTAGTTTAACTCAAATATTTGTTTGCATATGGAAATGAAAACAAATAATTTGCCGCTTAATGTATGGTTCGTCGTATTGAATTACACGAAATATTATTGGAAGACTTTTTCATCCCAAGACTACAATTATTTCATATCAAATTTTCAATCAACATTAAATACATATTTTAAACATAAAGCCTTGAGCCTCAGAGCATATCAGAACAAAAATTAAAACGGCTTTATTTTCTTTACAATACTATTTCCGTGATTTATTCTTAAATTATAGTATAAAATATTTGTCATAAAATTATAATCAACAGAAAATTTACAAAAAAATTAAATGTTTTAATTTTGAAACTAACTTTGTATACCTGTCGATAAATCGGTGCATATTGATCAGCTTACAAGTTGGCTTTGTAATAATGTATTTTCCCTTGTTCTTACTTAGTATTTGAAGCTTTTCTTAAGATTTCCTCTAAATACTTTCTTATACTTTCTTCTAAATACTTATACTTTCAATTCGCTAAAGCTGTCATTTTACACCACGATTCCTTTTTATCATCTTTTAATAAGCGAGCTTCTTCAAATTCAATAGGGTGCACACGCTTTCTATGATGATGCATATTCGAACTGTGTGTAAAAGTTTTTGGACAATGTGGGCAAGCATATAAAGGCTGACCAGTGTGAGCTGCCATATGTTCCTTAAAATCGTTTATATAAATATAAGCTTTATATTTTTAGAAAAATTTAAAAAAAATATACTTTTAATACAAGTTCCCTCTTAAAGTTTTTCCCACATAAACTGCATTCAAATTTGGGTTTGGCCCTATGTGCATACTGAATATGGCTCTTAAGTGCTTCAGAATTTGATAAAATCTTGTTGCATGTCTTACATTTATGTTCGATAATTTGATTTTGATGTTCATGTTCTTCAAATTTATGTCTGTTGCAAAGATATTTTGTAGTAAATTGAAGATCACAATATTTGCATTTATATTTCATACGCTCTGCACCTTCATGTACTTCAAGTCTGTGACGTTTAACATCTTGTTTATTGTTGTACGTTTTGCCACATATATCACACATTCCAGAATATCTTTTGTCATGATACGTGCGAACGTGATGATTTAAAGTTCCTTGAGAAGGATATCTAAAACAAATAATTGCTAATTTAACTGAATAACTCAACGTTTAATACAAATTACGATTTGTCACATTGAGAGCACTTAAATTTTCTTTCTTCTTCAGGAACATGAACTAGTTGATGCCGGAGCAAAACGCTTTTCAACTTAAACCCTTTACCGCAAAATGTACAGTGATGCAACAAACTCTCAGTTTTAACTGCTTTATGAACGTTAAACATATGCATTTTCAAAGTCCATCTTGTCATAGATATTTTGTTGCAAAGGTGACATCTAAAGACAAATTATATAGGTAGGTAAGACAAAAACAATTTTAAAGACTAGCAAAAACAATTTTACTTATATTTGTCCGGATTAACATGTTTTTCAATGTGATCAACAAGCTTGCTCCTTTTAAAATATTTTTTATCACAGCAAATTATAAAACCTTTTTGTTTATGAACAAATGTACTATGAGTTTTTAGACTTGTAAAGTTTGGAAGCTCTACAGAACACACATTACATATTATTTTGGTAAAGTTTGCAATCATTATGTCACCCTCAGCTAATCTTTCATGAAGCGCAGCCATTTCTTCAGGACTCTTTTTCTGATACTTCTGTGTTAACTTTTCTTTATCATTCTCTAAACTATCGTGCGATTTTACCTTTTTTTTCAATTTTTTTCTTATGGTTTTACTCCCGGAAGGGCGTCCCCTTTTCCTTTTTTTTGTCTGTTCTAATGTTTCAATTATAATGTCCGTTTTACATTCTTGCTTTTGTACTGGAATATTTAAATTATTTTTTTTAAATTAAAAGTGTATAGATTAGAAACCCACCTAGTTTTAATGTAAAAAATTATTGTCTACCTACCGTTTTCGTATTTTGATTCATCTTTTTCCGATATAGTTAGATCAGGTTGACTTTTCTCATCATCTTCTCCACTAATAGTCTTGCAAGATATACTAGTTTCAGATTCCTCTTTAATTTTATAATTACCAAGATCTTCATCTCTATCCTCTCCAATTGAGACACCATATTCAGTACCAACATCATCATAACTCGGATCTTCTTTTATAGAATTCAAAGCAGGAATCCACGATGAGTTTGCTGCTTCTGCTTCAATATAGAGCTCATGAAAATTCTTTATGATTGACCAGCATATTATACAAATACTGTTAGAGATGTCATCATCTAGTTTTGGCTAGAAAAGTATTACATATTTAAAAAAGGATTTGTTTTTCTCACTGGTCATTTTACTATCTTTGTATAATTTTAAAAAGTTGAGTTGATTAAATTTCCAACTTACTTCAAACCAAAAATATTTCGCTATAATTTCTGCTGCCTTTACTTTAATTCCCTCTTCATCAAAAAAACCAAAGTATTTATCAGAATTTCTCAAACATATTCGGCAAATCATTTTTATATGGAAACTTAAAAATCAATTCATTTCACATTAATAGCAGATTCAATATTTCACTAATGTATAATTTTTTAAAAAGGGCTTTTTTCATTCCTTAAATTACCCTTAGCCAGTATGTTTACTTTTTAATAAAAGAAATATTATACTTAAGAAAAACAAATAGAATTTAAGAATTTTACATATGTATTCTAAAAAAAAATAATTTGTTTGACATTTTGTAATAAAAAACAAATTTGACATTTTGACATAGAATGACCGTTTTATTTCAAATGTTTAAAAAAGCATTTTAGGATTTTTTTTAATTTTTAAAAAAATTTTTTTATGTTCAACGAAAATTTAAAAAACAACAAAGTCTTCCAAAAATTTATAACCATTTACAAATTTAAAAAGATATCGGTATTATCTAATTATAAATTTGTGAAATAATTTTGAACTTAAGGTTTATATGAAATATATTTCATCTTTGAAAGGTTTAATATTTCTACTTAAAATTACGTACATATGTATATATTATGTATATGCATAATATGCATATCTTACAAAATCATTCGATTAAAGTTATCAAGGAAACTGAACATCAAAAGAAAACTTCAAATATGTATTAACTATTATCTACGTAAATACTTTTTTTGCCGTTGCATATTTTGCTAAAATGTATTATTTGTGTGAATTTCAATAATCAATGGAACAGTGTTTTATTTCAAAATGTTGCTTTTTTTAAACTTGATTTATTCCGTTTTTAACAGAGATAGGAACAATAAAGGTTAAAATTTAAGTATGTAATTTAAACTTGTATAATGTGTAAACGTCAAAAAACGAAACCTCTCCCGGTGTCCATTGTCTCAGTCTGTATTACTTATAGCAGCTGTGGTACTTCAGACCAACCAGCTAGAATTATTAAAGGATCGAATGTTTTTGACTGTACTTACATATCTCACTTTCAGTTTTTAGAAATTGCGTATTGGAAAAAAAATAGAGTGAAGCCAAAAATCTCTAGTAAGCCTCTTTCTCAACCCCGACCATCGTCAAGTTTAAATTGAAAGTATAAAAATATAAACAAAACAAGCAAAATTTAGGAGCGTAGCTTATTAATAAAAAAAATTTAAAAAATCAGTTTGGTGATTTATTGCTCATTTCTTAATTTCTTTTTGACTATACGTACAGCCAAAGAGGAAGTAATAAATGTATACACGATTTATTTACACTGAATTTCTTTACACTAACTTTCCCAAAAATTAAACGACATGAACGTCAATCAAACAGAAATTGGTGAACTTGCTATTTCAAAATTATAATACATATTACAAATTAAACGGTATCTATTAACGAAGCATCTTGAAAAAACAATGATGCCAAATTCTTTCTAGTTGTCTCTTTTTTTATTCCAAGCATTGTCAAAGTCGTAACAGGAGTGCGTATTTTTTAATTTGGCCTCTTTACCCAGCATTTACACATACAAGTTACTTGCATGCAAGTTTGTATAATATTAATTGTCAATTAGTTTTTCGAAATGTCAAATTACTTGCTATTATGACGTAGGCGTTTAGCAAGTTAATTTTTGAAAATGTCTTTGAGAAGAAAACAACTAGCAATATATATAATTGTTTATAAATTTTAGAAACCATAAGTTTGCTAAGTTTAATTTTTTCAAAACAAAATTCAAAAATTTTAAATTAAAAAAAAAAAAAAAATCAAAACAACAAATTTTTTTTTGTGAATTTCTCAATATGTCAAATTACTTGCTCAAATTACTGGCAGCAAAATTTTCTTGCAAGTTGAACTGCAAGTAAACAAGCAAGTAGAAATATTTCAATGTGTTAGTAAAATTTTTGTATGTATTGCAACTTTCTTGCAAGTAACTTGCATGTGTAAATGCTGGGTTAAAATAAAAATAAAAAATATTTAAAAATATTTTCAAAATTTTTATTATTTAAAATATCTGTAAGAAATCAAATTTAAACATAATTCGTTAATTTTTTTCTCTTTAATTTCATTTAATTCATAAAATGAAATTCAATATTATGTACATATTTTTATATTACAATACCTTACTTGAAAGTAAATATGTTGTTTGTTTATACTTTGTACTTCCTTGGGTTTTACTTGCAATGCATTTTTTGTTGATGACGATGACGTTAGCAAAACATTTTTCAATGTGGAACGTTGTTGAAACGACGTTTCATTAATTTTTTGAATTTCGAATACAAAATGACTCCAAAATTATGTACTTTTTGACAAATTTTATTTTATATTTTGGTTATTATTGATTAAAGTAGATAGAATATTGTCGTATACTTCCTCATTAATTAATTGAACTTCACACATTTATTCATTCTAAAACAATATATTTTATGAATAATTCACACGAATATTTTATTTTACTTTCTGCATTCTACAAAATGACTTGGTTTTCATATATTTCTTATAAATCTTCGCTCTATAGAGGGAAATTTTAAGAAAACAGTCCAAATTAAAAAAAAAACAAATTTTTTATCGAACTATTAAAGCATCTGGCGTTATTTGCCATATAATTTCTTTTTATATTTTAAATCAAAATATTATGAACATTACTATGTATAGTACTATTTGATTAAATATTTGAAATAAAATATTCTTCAGTCTACTTTTTTTTACTCTTCGTTCTGTAAACCACTTTATTTTTATATTGTCATTTCTTGGTAAACTGTTAGCTAAATAAGGTAAATCACTTCTAGGCAAATAAAAAATTTCATTTTAAATATCGTAAGTATGGTAAATTTTATTAAACACAAACTAATTTTGCTTAGGAAAAAATCCGCTCCTGGTAAAATAATGTCATCGGAAGTAATTTTAGTTTAAAACAAATCAAACATAAATGCTTTATTCGCAGAATTAAAAACTCAATAAATTTATCAGTTATGAGCTAATTAAAACAATATTAGAACAAATATTTGTTTTATTTATTAAAATAAATAATATTCACATGCATATGGTGGAACACATCTGTTTGTTTCTTCAATTGGGAATAACAATTTGAAACCTTTCTTTTTTTCCAAAAAAAATTGCTCTTTTTTCCACATGCTATATTTTTTTTATAAGTTTTTATAAAATAAATATTCTTTTTTTAATAGTTAATACTAAATATTTCATAATTTTTCATTCAAAAACTGGATTAATTTAAAAATTAAAATCATGAAACTTTCCTTGTTTATTTTTTATACCAACGCGAGCTACTTTTCCAAGAAAAAGAAAACAACATTTGGCATTTATAACTATTGTCAATTTTCGATTTGACAAACAAAGAGCTTTACCTGAAGTTTTTGGCTTCACTGATTTGGCCTAGATGACAAATCATTGCCAGATTCAAGTAGCTGCCATACAACTCCAAAAAAAAATTTTAAATATTTGGAAAAATATTAAAGCTAGATTAATGATTTTGTGTCCACTTATGGGTTAGACATAATATCCGGGAAGTTTCTAATGAGTGGTTTAACAGGTTTGGGTAATTGCCATTTAACAAAGAAAGCAAATTCTAGTATTTCAAAAACAAATTTTTAAATTCAGATTGTCAAAGTGCAGGGTATTATTCTGCCGGTTTATACCGACTGAAACGTTTATACTTGTTGAAGCGTTTACTTACACTTTTTTTCATTGAAATAAAAATTATTTGATACTTACGAGTTCATACATACGAATGTAAGTATATACATAATATAGTTAATTTTTGGAAATTGTTATACATAGATCTTTTTCAGTTTAATTCCTTTATAAAAGATTCTCGGCACGTTTGCATAACAAAATATATAATTTTTAAAAATTTGGCACGCACGTCTCACAAGTCTTGCCACATAGATTTTAGGGTGTGCTAACGAAATAGAAACAAAGATGCTATTTAGATTGAGAAACGTCCTGAAGTAGTATATAAATATAAGTATGTATTACAAGACAACTTTTTTAAACAAAGGGTGCAGTAAAATTAGAAATAAACTTGAAAAAGAGCACTTCTACTAGCATAGAGTGCTTAATAGCATAATTATATGACTAAAAAATGTAATTCAAGTACAAAGATGGTAAAAATTATTCAAACAGTATATGGTTTGATTTTTTCATAATAATTTTGCATATTTATTTTTATAATAATAATACATATATAAATAATTTTGCATAATTATTTTTTATTGCGCAAAAAAGATTATTTAATTTTACTAATTAAATGTAGTTATGACATATTTAACTTTTGCTTGAATAAGTAGTTTTCTATTTGTTATATTCTGTTGGTAAATTGTTATAACATTTGACTACAATATTGTAAATAGATTCATATCTTAATCCTGCAAGCATTCTGTTTGTTTAGAGTTGTATTTGAATTTATCGTGTGATTAAAAGTTATCGTGCAAAGTATTTTTTCTAGATAGAATTTTGTGCATATTTGTCGTAGGTGTTGTTTACACAAGCCCATATAGATTTTTTATAGTTTGATTTTGTATTTTTTGTAGCTCATGCAAATTAGTCTAGGATATGTGTTCCCACCCCATACAGTAATACCAATACGAATGAGCTATGAAATATTTTTTTTTTATTTTTATTTATTTCACTACATTTCTACAAGTTGTATATGAATAAAAATAACAAGTTGTATATGAGTCCATACAACTTAGAGTTATCATTGAGAGCTTTTACTGGCGATTGATTGTTCTTTATTTTTGGTTTTATAATTAATTTGATTTGAGCGATAGTTCTCGAGATACAGCTCATCAAAGTCAGAATTTTTGTTTTTGATGCGCTACGATGATATCTTAAAGTTAATCTATATAACATTTTCTTCTATCTTTCATAGATTTGTCAGTAAAACGTGTTAAATGTGTTAAAAAAACATGCGAAAATTGCCTTGGTATGGTTTATGAATACTAATGCTTGTTTTCTCTTCCCTGTATTACTTTGTATATTTGTTATGGCATCAATAGAACTACGTTAGTACTGGAGTTCTGTTTAAAACCATATTGTGAAAAGCTAATAATATTTCTCAAGGGTTCAGTTAATAACTTATTCACATACATATGTATGTCCACTATTTTGCTTAACACAGTACAGATTTGTTAACTGACTCTTCTTTTAAATATTCCAAAGCAATTGGATGGTTGCATAACATTAATATCAGGCACAATATCAGCACCACAACATTTTGAAATAAAAACACATACTGATATTGATGCTATGCAACCTTATGGAGCAAAAGAAAAATATTTTGTGGCAGTAGTGGATGCAAAATTTTTGATGTAACACAATTTGCTCTTGCAAATATTGCTCTTCGTTCGCAATTTTTGAAAAATTAGCTTAATTGTTGACATACATATTCTGTAATTTTTGTTAGACTGAGTGTTATTGTTTATGTTTTTTTATTTTATGTTCTATATATTCTGCTAAAAACTATAATTAGCACTTTTCCGGAACAAATTGTGAAAAAAAGTGTATTCGTCTGCCTGTCCGTGGACATGTTTACAAGACTTTCCCACCCTTGTAGATAGAAAACTGAAATTTTATATTTACATACAAGTTACTTTAGTTTAGTTCATTAGTACTTTACTAGAAACTTATTTTCGTAGAAGAAAAATTTTACTTATTCAAATTTTACTGACTGACTTTTTCTACCGAGGCATACTATATTTGAATTTAAAAAAAACAACATGGTCGTTAAAATTTGCCGTTATCTAAAATTCGTTTTTTCCAAATTTTTTTAGCCATTTTTCTACCCTAGGTTGTGAAAGTCTGAAATTTAAACAGCTTTTACACACTAATAAATACTTAACTTCGTTAGAATAAAATTTTTCCTACCTCAAACCCCTCTCAAGTTATCATCCTCCGAAATTTGTAAAATTTGAATTTTTGTAATTCATATTTCCGAAACTGCAAAATTTTTCCAATTTCTATAAACGCAGAAAGGTAACGGTAAATTCCATGCTTTTTTGAAAAGTATTATTATTTTTCTTAACTCACACAATTAATCCTTAAAATCGAGTATTAACAACTCTTTAATTTTATTGTTGCTTTATTTCAAAGACTGCATAAATCGTTCATCCGAAATATATAAATGAAGTAGCTGGAAAGTGTATAAAAAATGTATATAAAATAAATATTTTTGGAAATGGTCGTGAGTGCTGACAGAGCTGTCTTTTTTATTGCATTGCGTATTTGCTGCAGTTTAATACAATTTAATGCTGCAATTTCCCAACTAACAAAAAAAAATTTTATTCTTTTTTTGCAGTGTTGATTTCGAAATTTAAAGCTAAAACTGTCAAGTGAGCGACAAGATTTTTTTCGATTTATAATAATTAACTCCTTTATAGACAGAGAAACATGTCTGTTTATGTACATAATACATACGTAAATATTTATTTTTTTTAATATATACACATATAAATTATTTGGTTTAAAATCATAGTATAATAAAATTTTAAATTTATAATCAAATGAATGCGAATTCAATAAATTGAGAAGAAATTATATCTTTCCTTGTCCTTTTTCAAATTCATATAAAACCTTATCAAATATTTCAATAGCCATGTCCACATTTTCGATTGATATGCACATTGGAGGTTTGATTCTAAACACCTATAATGAAATTGGAAACACCATTTTGGGAGATTTAGTAGATAACTCATAATATTGAGTAAATTTATATTTACATTTCCATATAAACCTCCACGTCCGATCAAAACCCCAAGGTCCTTAATTTTTTCCCAAATATCTAAAACATGTTCTATGCTTAAGGGAGAATTACTATCACGATCATTAACTAATTCAACTCCAATCATTAGTCCTTTTCCTCGTACATCCCCGATAACCATATATTTATCTCTTAATTTGGCCAATTGTTTTAGAAAATATGTTCCAACTTTGGCTGAGTTTTCCTGAAGCTTTTCATGCTCAATGACATCTAAAACGGCAATACCAACTGCAGAAGCTAAAGGATTTCCTCCATATGTATTGAAATGGAAAGCTTGATTTAGGCATTTTGCGATTTTAGGCGTAGTCACTACAGCTGCTAAAGGAAATCCATTTCCAATACCTTAAAGAAATTCATTACATACTTATAAATACTTCATTAATATAATTAATATGACTTTAGTTGTGTATTCATTTATTTATATTTTCTTATTGATTTAATATGTACGTACATACCCTTCGCCATAGTTACAATATCTGGAATTACGTCATGATCTTGAAAACCCCAAAAGTGTTCGCCAGTTCTTCCAAATCCGGTTTGAACTTCGTCGGAAATCAATAAACCTCCGTTTGTTCTTACTAATTCAGCGGCTTTTTTAATATATCCCTTGGTGAATTGTACTGTACCACCGACCCCTTGAATTGATTCAGCAAACAATGCAGCAACATTTTTTTGTGGTAAAGAATATTTAAGAACATTCTCCAATTGCTTATAGTACTTAGTAGTTGCCATACATTCAGACTTATTTGTGCACTCGCATTGTCTTAAAGTTTGAATTATAGAATTACGACAATTTGAACCACCCCATATTCCTGAGAATGGGTCTGGATTCATTACATGGTGAATTCCTAGATTGGCCCCCGGTAACTTATAACGCCAGGTCGAGTGTGCAGTTAAACCCATTGTGGATGGTGACATGCCATGATATGCATTTTGAAAAGAAAGAATATCAAAGTTTCCTGTGTAAATTCTTGATAGAAGTATAGCTAAATCATTAGCTTCAGATCCTGAGTTCACAAAATATACAACCTATATTAAAAAACAAAACAAATATCTATAAATTTAAGCTTACGTTTAAAAGAATTTCAACATTAACGTACATCGAGAATAAAAAAGATTATAAATACTCTTTTTTTTCACATATACATACTCTAATTACTCTATTTCATATTTTTTTTTTTGAGAAAAGTTTAAAAATTAAGACTTTTTTGGATTCTACAAGAATATATATATGTAAATATTCTCAAAGTATATCAATTATATTACAAACATACATAGTGCATGACAGTTACTAATGTCACACCATATTATGGTTACAAATTGTTCCCCAACGAATATGTGGTAGGCTTATTTTGAAATGATTTTCAATTTCAGAAAAAGTAAAAGAAAAATAAACAAAAGACTTGTAAAAGTTTCAATCAAAGCAACTTTAAATTGCGATTGAAATAAGTAATTAAGTATACATACAAGACTATTCTAGTTCTAGTAGTTACCTTTAGATCTCCTGGAAATTTTGATGTTAATTTTTCTGCATATTCATGAATTTTTGGATGCATGTAAATATTTGTGGTATGCCATAATTTTTTTATTTGTTCTTCAAGAGCTTTCGTAATTTTCCTGAAGGAATAAATGTAGTTGTTAAATTTTCAATATAGAATTGATTTGTAAAAAATAATACGGATGACAGTGTCCAACTGATACTGTAACGATTCCTCCAAACAAATCCAAATAATTTTTGCCAGTGTGATCGTAAAGCCATTGCATATGGCCACTGTGAATCAATAAAGGTTTTTTGTAATACGAAAGTATATTCGGAGTTAAATGCTGCTTTTTTATGTGCAAAATTTCTTCATATGTTGGACCTTCATATTGTGGTGGCTTGAAATTTGATTCTCCAATTGTTGATAAAGATCTAACTGTATTGCTACAGGAAAATCTATTTTCTAATCCAAAAAAATAAGAAAAAAAGTAATAAAAGTTAAAAAAGACAACAAGTTTTTGGAAGAAGATCAACGAGTTTATATAAAAGTGTATGTTTATAAAATGTATACATAATTATATACTAATCTAAAGTATGGAAATACAATTACTACAGATCTATTTAGTCAATAATTATATGTTTTTTGAAACTTATTAAATTTATTTTAAATATATATATAAAAATATATATATATATATATATATAGGGTGATTCAGTGTAAAGTACAATATTATGTATCACTGTTTAGGGATCAAAACCGGATAAAATTTCTGTTTAGAACTACGAGTAGTTGTCAAAACTCAACGGTTTCCGAGGTACAGTTATTTTAATTAATTTTCACAAAATTTCTACTCGACCAAGTTATTTTCCATCCCTTTAAAAGCCCTTACTATGTAATCGATCATATTTATTTGTGGGTTTGTAAAATGAAAAACTAAATTCTATTGAAATACATGATTCTGGTACAATCATATAATTTTGCCTAAATTTATGAGGAATATTAAACCAATAATATTAAATAAGTTATAACCAAAATTATACATTGTCGTTTTATATTATGTATCGTTTTTGATCTGGACGAGAATGGAGAACTCGTATAAATTTGTCGTACGTAAAAAATTTATACATGTTGATAGTATGATGATGCGTATAATTTTTTTGGTTACTTACACATAAATATTGAAGAATGTAGATCGCTTGTTAATTCAAGCATAAAGGAATAACTTTTGAACTGTTTCACTTTGCCTTTATAGCTTCGATTGAGCTTATAATTGCGAAACAATAGAGGACCAAAAATTGATAGTTTCAAAAATTAAGGAGTATAATAAAACAAAAGGAGAAACAAAATGAAATAGTTATCAACAAGAATAAATTGTTAAAATTCAAATCTCGGATATAAGCCTTAAGATAAAACCGTTTTCAAATAACGGCTTATTTGAATAGTAAATTCAAAAACCTAGTTTTTGTTTATATTTTTTTTTATCGCGCAATTTTTAATTCTCGCTTGGTTTTAGATACAGTAAATTGTCGAAAACTTGCATTTTCAGGGTTTTAAAAGAGGGATGAATAGGCAGATTGAATCGAATTTTTATTTAGGCGTAATTATTTTATAGTTTTATGTATCCTTTTGTGTAACTTTTAATATCATTAATTTGATTTTTCAATAAAAATTTATTTTTTTCGAAAAATTGCAGTGTCAAAATAATATGAGCTAGAGTTCAGATATTAAACTCTAAAACAAGTCACAACAAGTGAACTTAAAATAAGCAAGCTAGATGCAAATTTAAATAAAAAATTATAAATATTTTTATAAACAAAATTAAAAATATTAAAAAATATTTTTTATAAAATTTTAATAAAAGTAAGTACTTTGTGAAACGTTATATTTTTTTGAATTTTAAAATATCTCCAAAAGTCATGTAATTTCGTCAGCAAAAACTTTGAGTTTTTAATTTTGTCATGTGGGGTTGCTAATTTCGTCATGGCAAAAAAAACACTAGGTTTTAATGTGTATATCATAATTAATAACTATCCGGTAACAATTTTGAAAAAAAGCATGATAATATTTGAACTATTCAAAAACTATGGAAAATTTTAATTTCGTCATTCCGGCGCCTCACAAAATATGATTAAAAATAAAATTTTAGCAAAAGTTAGTTGTAAATTTAACAGTTTTTTTTTGATATTGTATAGAATTCTTATATTTGTCAATTTCAATTTGCGTTTTTCTCGTATTTTTATCATTATTTGTAGAAAAACCCTGCCAATCTACATTTTTCGTTACTATTAAAATAGATTGTACCGGTGATACCGGAATAAAACATTACAGACGAAATTGGATATTTTGACTAGAAACATTATGCTTAAATAAAAGTTTTGTATTAAAATTTTTTTAATATTTTATGCTTCAATAGTAAATATTAATATTTCAAAATATTTTAATAAACCACTCAATTTCGTTAATGTGACGAAATAATCTCCAACTCTAAAAAATTTGGTTGGTAATTTCGTCACTTAAGTATTATTTTTTAAAATTTCACTTTTTGAATTTTTTTCTTATTAATAATGTTTTTTTAAGTTTAATTTGCCAAAATATAAGCCAATATGTAAGAAATTACACATATTCCAACATATAAAACCTTAAGAAACTTTCTACTTTTCTTAACGAAAACACTGAGAAAAAGCAAAAATTTCGCCCGATATTTTTTGCAGTAATTAAGAATGTCTTTTAAAATTAATTTATTATAATTTTTTAAAATTTAAAAACGAGTCTTCTCACTTCAAGTATATTTAAAAACAAAAATGTTTAAAGTTTATTGAAAATATGTGAAGGAAGTGCGACCTATGACGAAATTAAATGCACTGACGAAATTACCTTACTTTACCTTAACTGTCTGAAAATGTTAAAAATAATTTTGTCAACATTCCGAACTAATAAAAAATGATACTTGTATTGCACACACATTAACTCTTTGAAATACATCGTTAAAAAACCGAAAAAGTCCCTTAACATGACGAAATTACCTTACTTTACCTTATAATTCTATAATTATACGAGTACTTTCGAATTATTTTAACTTAAAAATTTTAATAAAAAGTTAGTATCAGTATGAAATGAGAATATCGTTAAACAAAAATGATAATAGAGGTTCACTTTATCCAATTCCAAAAAAAAATATTCATCAGTTAGTTTTGTTGAAAAGCCAACTACTCAAATAGTAAATTTTATGAAAATCTGCTGGTAACTTGCTTGTGATAAAAAATGCAAAAACAAACGCATGTATATAATTAAATTTTAAGAAAATCTCTTTATTTTGTATTTATTTTCTTGAATAATCTTTAAATGGTCAAAAATGTAAATAGTCCTGTATAAATGATTTAGTGCCAGAGAGCTAACAAAGCCCGATAGTTTATTAATTTGTGTCATGAATAAAGTTAAATTAGATATTAATTGAAATATATGCAAGCATAGATAAACAGTCAGACTAACCGGCATCTAATTAAAAAAAGTGTATTTATGTTTTTCTATCACGAAAAAATGCATTTCCATTGAAATGTCGACAGCCTAAATTTGGCGCCGTCCCTTATTTTATATGGCCGGTAATAACATAACAAAAAAATGTATTCCTGTACTTTATTAAGCAAACGCCAACGATACCTTAATAAATTTAATTTAATGGTAATAATTTTATGTATTTAATGTTATATATGTATGTATGCATTTTTTTTATAAAGTTCAAAGAACAAATTTTGATAGAAAGATTCTAATAATTGACACACAACATTATAAATCATAAAATTGTTTTTTTTTTTGTAGGAATAAGTACTTACATAGCTATACATGTATATTTTTTTTGTTTATTTTTATCAAATTTTTAGTTTTCATATTTAGCTTGTGGTTAAAAGAGCTAAGTCTTTAATAATTTAGAATTTTTTTTAACAGAAGGTCATTTGAAAGTTTTCTTAACACGAAATTAAAAATTTTTCAAAATTAACAAAAAAAGATAAGTTATTGCCTATTATTTTATTTATTTATATTCAAAATTTAATACTATATGCTATAGTATATAAGTTCTGTCTGGGATAAAACATGAAAAACTTTAAAAAGAGAAACAATGACAAGTTGTATGGCAGCTATTGCAAGAAGTTGTGCAAACAAATTTTAATGGAATAGTGGCATTTATTAAAACAACTGCTTATTGATTAAATTTAAATTTTTGTTGTAACTACCCTTTTAAATGGTTGAGGAACGCATCTAATAAATTTGAAATTTTTAAGTTTATTAATTATTTTAAATAATTATTTTGACTTAGTTTGGTTAATTTAATATTATAATAACGTTAGATTGTTAATTCTTTTACTTGTGTAACATTTGCATTTACTTACGTAGATCTTTTTGTGTTATCTACACATTATTACAAAACAAAAATTCAACAAATCCCAAAAACCTCTAATTAAAACTTAAAAATTTTTTTTTTGGTAAATATAAACGGGTACACCACCCATACCATGATATACAAGTATTTCATATAGTATATGTATTAAAAAATTAAATGTAAGAAAAAAACTACTCAAATTAATTAAAAAAAATTAATGTATTAATAACAGTACTTTTCATAAAAGATCCACTTTTTGTAAATTAAATATTAATTAAAAAAAAAATTTTAATATTTACGGGATCGCCTAACGGATATTTTAATGTTCTATAAAACATGAAAGATGACTTTCAATTTGTCCTTTGGCCAACCTTGATAGCTTCATTGGTTTGAAAAATAAAAGCTTTTAAATATTTAAAAAAATGTTATTTTTGAATTATTTTATTTTGAATTATTATTTTGAAACAATTCTTATCATTCAAGAACATTTTTGCTAAAAGTCGTACAAGTTTCTTGTATAAATCATAAGATACGACGTCGCAAAGTATGAAGCGGTTATCTGGAACCACCTTTTCGCTATATCCTCTTCGATTTATCTAAGAGTTTTGATTCAATGTTCAAAAAAATCTATAATTCAAATTTAATTTTTAATTTATCCAAGTCCAAAATTTTCAATGAAATCAGTCTAAAGAATTTAAGAAAACAGGCAATAAATATCTACTTTATTTTAAGCAGTTTTAAGTTTAAGCTTTTTGTACTTCACTTTAAATTTTTCCATATTTGATAAGCGTTCTAGATAAGGTTTATACTTCTTTAAATTTCTAAAAAATTTTTGTTCTTTTAAGAGATACTGGAATATTTTGCCTGTACAAATAAAATATATGTACATTTGTTAGACCTAAGAAAAATTACTCTTAAATATAAAAAAGGTTTTTATATTTAATTGAGAAACAATTTTTTAGATCTTAAAAAAATTGATATACACACATAAGTATAAATAACCTACGAGCATATTTAATAAATACAATAAAAAAGACTATGTTATTTGTTGTGTATTTCATACATAAATAATATCATAATTGTTTTTCAATAAAGTTATGCATAATTGCAAATTTCTAAATGATTAAAGTTAAAACTAAAAAGTTTAAATCAATACGACAAACAAGCGGCAAACGCTGGCTGCAGTTCAATAAATTGTTTACTTTCTTTGATCGAAAATTTACATGCCCGTACATATACATATGTATGTGTATATTAAGTAAATTCAAATTTGAAATTTTAATGTTAATTTTTTTTGTTTTTAAAACAAAATAGTTTAATATTCGTATAATAACAATAATAAACAAATCTACTTACATTACAGAATGATTTAAAAATACAACAATAACATAATAGTAATTCTATTTGTAACTATCATAATATAATAATATTTTGCTCTTTATTAATTAGTATTTATACTTTTATTTGTTTATTACATATAAGGACGAAATTTTGCAAATATAAAATATATAAATTATATACTTATACAATATTAAAATCAGCTACACTGTACAATATAACTGTAAATAAATCGTATATACATATATAATATGAAAACTGTTATATGGAGCAAGAAGATGCACATATGTATGTAGGCAAGTTGTAAAAATGTGATCTTATATTATATAATATTACTTTTTTTTATAGCTTGGAGATATTTCAATTTAAAACCTATAGCCTAAAAATAAGAGCTATAATCTGATACCAAAATGTATACATATTGGTGATATTAATTTTATTTAACATGTTTATAGAGAGCGACTATATATGTAATATGTATGTAGGTACGTAAAAAAGCATACTTTTGAACAAAATATTCAGAGATAATATCAAAAAGAACTCACTTATAATTTTAGAAAACAACATTTTTCTTAAATTTTTTAATTATCACACACATAGAACGTATTTTTTACAATAAAATGTAATACACACACACGAACACGATATACTGTTATTCAAAACGCTTCTGTATTATTTAATACCGATTTATTAAATTTTGATATTAGACATGTGCTTTTAAGTAATTTTTAAGCGAGTCGGTATTCTGACTCGTTTCATTAAAGTTGAGAATCAAACTAAATAAAGTATTTGTGTATTGTTAAAAAGTATGCTTTCTTCTTTTTTTAAAGCTATTAAATAACTAATAACAAGTCATATTATATGCATATCATGTATGTAAGTATAAAATTAAGTGATAAGACATTACACTTATGTATGTACAAATATACAGTGCGACAAGAAGAATTATTAAACACAAAATACACCTAATATAATTTATAAATATTTGAGATTTTTATTTACATTATCATATTATTTTTAATATTCATAGTATCTTATCGTATTTGATAAAATACTATGAATATTTTATATAAATATTATATGAATATTTTATGATTATGATTAAAGACTATGAAATATTAGATTTAGGGACATGTAAAAGTAATTGTTATAGATAAATTTTTATCTTCTTCTCCCCAAAGAGGTTTCAAAGATAAAAAATTCTTAAAGTCCTAAGTATATTTAATAATAATTCAGACTTGCCCTTAAAGACCTATTAAATTAAATAGTCTGGTTTTACAGATTTGTGATTCCTTAGATTAGCTTTTAAGTATTATCTTTTGAGTGTTGAAAAAATCTAGAAAACAAAATGATTCTAATGATAATAAATATATATACACAATATATATATATATATATATATATATACATATATATATAGACTTCTTTTAAAATTATTTTTTTTTGCAAAATAAAAGGGTTAAGCCTAAAATATCATACATTTTCTTGTAAATTAAAAAAAAAACAAAATTAAGGGCAAGAACAGTTTTTATTACAATTTCGAAGGCACGATACTTTTATAAATGCAAATCATATAAAATACTTATACTATTACTATTAATTAGTGTATAGCAATTTATATGTAGACGAGTAATATTTAACATATTTCATGCTCAACATGATATACACTTCATAATGTGGATTAGGAAGCATACCGTTATTACAAATAGATACATATGTATATATATGTATGTTGATCTATCTACAAATAACATAACAACGCAAATCAAACGTAAACATAAATAACAAAAGTAACAAGTCTGATTTCATATTTCAAATTAACAAGTCATTCTATTTTGAGCTCTTTGGATTATATTTATATTCGTTCTCTTAGCACATCCCCATAACTGGATGCCACATAACCATATGGGTTTTATTACCTGCTTATATATTAATATTTTATTATTTATAGTCACTTCCTTACTACTAAAAATCCAAAATAGTTCTCTGGTTTTAATTTTTATCTCTTCATTCTTTTTTTTAATGTGTTCTTTCCACCTCAACTTACAATCAAGTGTGATACCTAGATACTTAGCTTGATTTGAGTATGGGACGTTGTTTCCATTTGTTTGGATTTTTATATTATTTGTTTTCTTTTTAGTTGTAAAGTCAACATGTACGGATTTTGCTTTATATATTTGATTTCTCCATAGCCATTGATAGAATTGATCAATACTCCTTTGTAATTTCGATGTCGTCAGCAAATGTGGCTATTTTTGTGTCTTTATCCATTGGCATATCGTTTGTTATATTTTATATAAAATATATAAAACAGGCCACAGAACATTGCCCTGCGGAACGCCTGCCCTAATTTATTTTAATTTAGAATATTCATCGTTGAGTTTTACAAGAAAGCTTTTATTTCGTAGGTTGGATTTTGCAGATCTCGTTTTATTTTATACTTGACTCCCCCGTGCTAGACCTTGTCAAGTGCCTTGGCTATATCTAAAAATACTACTAAACATATTTCTTTCTTTCTAGAGCATCTTCTTAATATTGGTAATCCTAAGTATCTGGTCTATAGTAGAGTGATTTTCTCTAAAACCAAATTAGTGTACGGGTATTAAATTTTTTCCTCTAGAACTGGTTTTATTTTTAGAAACAGCAACCTTTAAAATAATTTAGACATTATTGGTAGCAACGATATAGGTCTATATGATATTGAGTCATTTGGCTCTTTACCAGGTTTTAGGACCTGGACTATACTTGGCAATTATTTCAATATTTTTGCTGTTATGAGATGGTATCGTGGAGCTTTACTGTTTTTTAGGCTTTTAATTTCTCTTTTTAATTCGTGCATTGTAAAATTGTTCATTCTCATAGTATCTAGAATTGATTGACATGAATTCATATTAAAAATTTGCGACGATTGTTGTGGGATTTCGAAAATATTTTCTAGGTATTCCGCAAATACCTCAGTTTTTTCTAAATCACTTTTTGCCCAAGTATTGTCAGCCTTACTAATAGGTGGAGCACAGATTTTTGGTTTATTAATGCTTTTCATCGTTGTCCATAGCGAAGAATTGCCTTGTTTTGTAGATGATAAATCTGTTGCTTAAATTATTCAATTTGTCTTATCTAGTGGTGCCTTAGTCATTTGCCAAGTCTTCCGAGCTTTTCTTTTCTCTTTTAGAGGTTTTCTCACTTCGGGAGGATAATATACTTGTCTGATTGAGTCTGGGTCATTTTCAGTAGAATTTGACCAAGCTACAGTTTGGGTTTGATAAGTAACTAATTCAATATTTTCTTCCAGCTGATCTCATGCACGTAGACTTATATTTGAGTTCACAATTTCCTCCAGGTCATTTCTGAATTTTTACCAATTGGTTGAGCTATAAGGCAAATTATTTGAAATGGTTTTTATATATTATTGTTTTAATAATAGTCATTATCAGTGGAGAATGATCCGAATTCAGGTCGAAGTTTTTTTTTAAATCTATGTAATTATCTGACATCCCTTTACTGATGAAAAAATCAACAACATCAGGCAACTTAATTGTATCTGTAGGTCAGTACGTTGGCTTGCCAGAAGAATGAAATCTACAGCTCATTTCCGTTCCAGCCCGAAACAGTGCCTTTCCTTTCGACGTGAATAATCTAGATCCCCAATTTGTATTTTTTGCATTAAAATTACCCCCAATGATGAAATTATATTCTAATTCTTTAAATATTTCTATATACTCTTCATATTTTAGTTTGTGCCTGAGTGGGCAATATATTGATGCAATTTTGTGTAACTTGTTTCTTGATCTTACTATAACAGATGAAATTTGCATATAGTCTTTTTCTATTGGTATGACTTTCTGTAATATTTACCGCGAACCTCCTTTTGATTTATTGCTTGGATGAATCGCTGGGAATGTTAAATAACTTTTAATTTTGCCGGCTAAACCAAGGTTTTTTTTGTTTAAGAGGTTGTTACTATACTCTGTGGATTTAGTGGACTTGTACCACAAGCATACCTTACTGCGGGTTTTTCTATTCCCCTACCCGTCGGAGAAAATAAAAACATAAGAATGAATTATATCAAACTTATTTACAATTTATCAATCTTTATTATATTAATTTGATTCATTTCTTTGTAAAAAGATTGTATAAAAATTCCTTTAACGATATATGTAGATCTGATTCAAATTCAAAATACTATTACTCATAAGAATAAAACTGGTTAATCAAAATCATACCGTTTAATTAGCTGTTATCGTAATTATAATTTGAAGTTTCTTCGATTTATTTTTGATGATAGTTTATGTCGGCCAATTGTGAAACAGATTAAATACATAGTTATTTTTACAGAAATAATAAAGTATTTGTAGATGTGTTAGAAACACTTTATTAAGTGAACAATATAAATACAAATTTGCACAATTTCTCTGATGCCCATCAAGATTTTTACTGTTTTAAAACCATATAAAAAAATTTGTCTTCCACCCATTAAATATCTCAATTTTGTCTAGACCTTAATCTTCAAAAGTGTCATTTCCTGAATTGTGCTGCCGTTGCATAACTAATCTCTGATTTAAAAAAGAGACAGCTTTAGAAAAATATGACACTTATGTCAAAACCGAAAAGAAATTTGTGAGATATTTTTTTTTATTTAATTGTTTTTTTTTTAAATAAGTGGTCAATATTTTAAATTATTAAATAGTGAAATTTAGCAAAGTAGATTTCAAATAATTTCAGGTTTTTTTTAACACTAACAATATTTAAAAATTTTAACTGAGATCAAGAGTTTTTATTGTATGTATATATTATTATGGCAAACGAACATGATGGCAATATAAAGGCAAATTACGAAAATTCTTCGGCTAACTTTAATAATAATGAAACTTGTAAAAGTGGAAGGACTTCTAATAGGTCTGAAGCATATAATAGCACAACAGGTTCAACGGAACGTGATGATAAGTCTGCTTCAAGCAGTGGGTTTTCTAATTCGAAAACAATGACTGCATCTAATGAAGTTTCTCATACAAATGAATACAAACATATAACGTCGCAGCCTCAAAAAAGAGAGGAAAATCCATTTTCCTTTAAACACTTTTTAAATCGTGATACGAATAACTCTAGTAATTTATCTAATATATCAGCAACAATAGTTAGTACTAATAATAGTATAAACAATAGTAATTTAACTGGCAGTAATATTACTAGCTATCAATCGTCAAATACAAAAAATAATCCTTACTCATCTGTGTCTAATTTAAGTCCTAGTAGCAGTGCTTCTTTAAGTTCATATATATGTAATAATCAAGTAAATAATAATGGTAATGGCAACAATTTTAATACTACTTCTGGAGAAAATGAAATGTTTTCTGCATCAAATCAAAATAAAATTTCTACTTCTAATAGCAATAATTCGGGTTTTGGGTCAGGTAATAGTAATCCTTATCAGTCTTCAACTGGAGCAAGACCAAAAGTTCCTCAATCCATTTCTACTTCATCATCAATTGGAAGTGGTAGTAACAACATTCTTCAACCACCTATATCAATATCTACTACATCTATGTCTTCATTAGCAGGTGGAAGTGAAAGCTCAAAAATGAAGAGATCACCACGTTTTTCATCCTTTGACTCGCAGGCGAGTTTAGCTGAATGTGCAGCAGGATCCAACAATGACCGCAGCGATACTGCTACTTACAATAAGTATGTGCATACATTGCTTTACATTATTTTTAAAATAATTTGTTAAATGTTTTTTATGTTTCTAGTACTTCAGGATTTTTACGTGACGGCGCCGGAATTTTAGATGACCCAGGGAAAAAAACGGGAGGATTATTTATAACTAATTCTGAATATGATAAACAATTTATTCCCCGTTCTTACTCTAATTACGATATTGATATTACGCCGTCTATGAATAATAGATGCTCGAATTCTTCGACAGTTGGGCGAACTAGTGACGCGAGCAATTCCCCTTTTCGTAATAGAAATTCATCGGCAGTTAGACCAAATCGTTTGATTGGAATTTCTTCACAGTCATCACCAAATTCCTCGAAAAATCAGCAGGCGTATTCTTCATCTAATGCAACAAATAATGCGGGCGGTATTCGTCCTAACTCAGAATTTGCCGCGGCAGCTTTGCCTGATTTTGTTCAAGATCATTGGATGGATCAGTGGTACTATAATGAAATGAACCTTAATTCGCCTCCCAATTCGCCTAATCAATCACCGATAGATTTTGTTGAAGATTTACCTTCCTGTATGGCAACTGGTGAAAAATGTCAAACGTTGCCCGATTTCTTATCTGATGGACCAATAATTCATTCTTCCGGTAGATTAGCAGATGTTGCCGCAGGTCTTCCAGATTTGGATTCACCAGAAGATAACTCTCCTGGGTTACAGTTATCACGCCTCCGCTTGGAAAATGAACGCCTGCGGCGGGAGTTAGATGAAAGCAGAATATCGTTATCGGAACAAGTAAGGAGAGCCAACGATTTAGAGAGACGCTTAGAGCAATGTCGAAGTAACGAAATAACATCAAGTAAAAACTCAAATCAAAATTTAGAAAAGGCCGATGAAAATTCAGAACAAAATAAAGTGATTATTTAATTAAAATGTATATTTGTAAATATTTAATTTTAATTTATTTTATTTTAAGAAACGGTCTCTCGTAACAGAAAATCAAATAGCAAAGTTAAAACTGCAAATAAAGCAATTAACGGTAATCTAAATATTTTACTTTGTATATGTAACTATGATAAATAGTAATATTATAATGAGTTCAAGTTTCAAATGAGACTTTATAACTAAAAGTATTATATAATTTACTTGTACTTAATACTATATATGTATTTATATATACTAGGCTGAAGTGAATTTATTGCGAAAAGAAAATGAGCTTATCAAGGAAACAGGTGCAGTAGGTGGTGACATAATAAGTAATAGAAAACCGTCCAAAAACCAACAACTATCTAGAGAACTAATGCGGGCAGCAGCAAACGCAGAAAGCAATTTAAGGTGAAATACATTAATTTTTGGAAATTGGTATATGTAATTGAAATTTCTTTTAGGCAATTGTTAAGTGGTGTAGACAACTTAAGGTTAATGGCTAGGTCACTTGTTTGTGATAATAGTGTCGATGATGCTGGCGATGGACTAGATTTCAACAGGCAAAGCCCTACCTTGAACGCAGCAGCAGCAGCTGCTAACATTAGTAATTCTGCTTCGATAAATTTAGTTAACGACGAGTATTTATCTGATTGTGATGACTTTGATGATTTTAGCGGCCCAGCTTTGTAATTTAATTTTAAATTAAAACAAATAAAATTCTATAAAAGGTAATTAAAGATTTTTTTTGCGATAGATGTATATTTTTAATTTAAAGTAAGTGAAATAAAATGCATAGCGATACAAATAAAACGTAACGTAATTACTTTAAAGCCATGAGAAAAATTGGAAATGAGTCGATCTCTGGACTAAACACTCCAAAAGGTCGGTTCAAACAGTTCAGCTTTTTAGATGACATCCTCAAAAAATAATACAAAAAACCACAATTGTAATAATAATAACTTAATGTTTACCTTGGAAGGTTTTAAAACTTTTATTGGATTTCTAAATAAAAACAGAATAGATTCACTGAGCTTGGTTAAGTTTTGTAAATTGTTTAGGCAGATGCAATTTTGCAAACTTTATAGAATGTAATTTTTGTATAAAATTTTTATGCTAGGTTTACTGTTTCGTGTTTATGTATTGTTTCATTCAAAATTTTGTACACATATCGGTTTAAAACGAAATTAATCACATAAGTTTGTGTTCGAAATAATTAGTTTTTTTTCAAAAATTGCATTTAAACATTTTTAGTTGAAGTTTAATTTCTCAGCAGCTAATTAACGTTTATATATTTTTGCTCACATTTGCTGTGCCGAAAGGTTAACCCTTCGGTTTCTAGCAAGTAAATAAAGACTTCTGTATTCTAAAGTCTTTATTACGAGTTATGAGTTAATATATATTTATGAAAAATGAAAATTTGGGAAAGTTATATCTTTTTCAATAATAGAGATTACAAATAAGACGCAAACTATTGCGGGAATCTGCATATGCCTGAAAATGATTTCAAATCTCTGACGTTTTGTAAATGTTTGTATAAATTTATTTATTTTGTATAAACATTCGTATGCACATAATTCAAAATAAGAAAAACTAAATTTGTACCTTAAATTTGTAAATATTTATATATGTACGTAATATGTACACACATAAATTTGTTTTAGGAAAGTTCAAAAACATCAAATATTATATCAGCATGCTAAAAATATAATAGCCTTGCGAAAATCCAGTATCGCCAAAGCGAAAATTTTGACCAAATTTCATTATTATTCAAATAATATAATAGGTGTGTAAAATCAAGAAATCCTTGTATATCTATCTATCCCAACTGCTTACATTTATGATTAAATATATCAATTAGTCATATTGAAATAAGTGATGTAGCAAAAATTATGTGCTTAGTTAAAGTTACATGTATAACGTATCGCTTACGTTGTGTTTTCACTTTGTCGTGGCGACATAATGAAAATATATCGCATGTCCATACCATTAGTTTTTACAATTATATGATTGACGTTTATGAAAACTGAAAGAAATTTGCTTCCGCGACGAAATGTCAGAATTCGTATAGTATGAACATATTTAAATGCGGCTGGCCAAAATCAAGTGAATTACCCTCACGAATTTGACTACCAACGATAAAATAACCTCAATTCTTATTTTACCGCTACGACTTTTTTTAATATCATCTATTTCTATATCACTGCATTGGTTCTCCTTTCTTAATATCTCTATTTCCCCTCTGGAGACCGTATTCAATTTTATTACGGTTATTTTATTAAAAAATATCTTTTACTAAAAATTATTTACTTTTTTGACAAGTTGTAATAATTTTCAGAATATACTTTGACGTTGTTGAAAAATAACTCAGTTATTTTTTAATCAAGCTACATATTTTAAAACTACCCTCAAGATTTATTACTTATTAAAATTTTACTGAGCTATTTTTAAATTTTTGTTTCCCGATATAAATTACAGTTTTCTAAATAAATTATTTAAGAAAATATGAAACGCTGAAAGAAAAATTAAAGTGAAATCAAAAGGAGAATTATTTGCAATAAACATATGGTTAAGTATCACAAAACAAAAAAGAAAAAGTCTGGTGTCAAATTGCAAATGTTGTTGAGAACGGAAGTTTCACACCGGAGCACACGAAATAGATATATGTATTTCCTACAATTGAATTTCATATCCGATCTAATCATACCACTAAAGTATTTGGTAAAAACTAAATTCTTAAAATTTTCTTTATTTTTGAAATCCAAGCAAGATACCATAGCGTATATTAGAAGATTTCAATCATTTGATACTTTTTCATTATTTTTTACTTGGGCTACATCAAATTCCACTTTTGGAAGAGTATGCGTGGAAGAAGTAATTTCCCCTACATACGCAGGAATTAAAACAACCATTTCTTAAAATTCGAATAATAAAATATAATATAATGAAAGAGTTACAAGCTATCGTTATTATAGTAATTTGGACTACAAAGTTGAAGTATAGAAACTAGTATAATTTTGACAAGTGAAAGTAAATACAGTAATACCCCGCACTTACGTACCCTTTGGGACCGGAGCGTGTACGTGAAACAAAAATGTACGTAGATTGATCTACTACTTTATTGATGAATAATACGTTTGAAACAAACTAAAACAATAAATATGTATATAAATAAAAAGAAAAAGAGGGATATTATGTATGCAGTTTTATACTTTTATTTCATACGTTTTTATACTATATTTAACACTTAACGTGTATTAAAAAAACAAAACACAGTTTCGTTTTTGTTTTGTTCTTATTCCACTTTACATAGATTTTGTTTTGACTTGTTTCTACATGCATTCACTCATAACAAAATTTAGGTTTCATAGAAATAATGTACAGACATACAAAAACACGTTGTTACAAGTGTACATTCTCAATTTGGTATACATAATTTTTTTTTTCCATTAATTTCAAAACCAGAAAAAATGTACTTGTACGTAAGTGTGAATCATTGTACGTATAATGGGCAATTGGGGACAAAAATGAGATGTACGTAAGTGCGAGGGTACGTAAAACGAGCGTACGTAACACGGGGTATTACTGTATATAATATGTGGGTGCTTAGCTGTCCATATCAAAATAAATTTAAGAGAAAAAGTGATCAGTGAAAAAAATTGTGTTATACTGAGAAAAAAATTTTAGAATAACGAGAAATCTAATCATTGAAATCAGAGAAGTTAATAAAATAAAATTCGTAAATGATAGAATTTATACAAAATTTTCAAGATCTTTTTATGACACGAGTAAAAAGAGTCTTTATGGAATGAATAGAAATTTTTAATTTTTTAACAACAAGATGATATTCCTATAGAGATTAAAAAGTTAGTGTCAATTATTTTTTAACACGTTGTACACTTTGTTTATATTATGTTTCGGCCCTTAAATAATTTGAAATTTAATTATTTAAATATTGTATTTGACTTTCCATTATTAAATTAATTTTTAAATTTGTTAATGGAAACCTAATTCAGTTTTGTGTTATTTATGATTCGTTCCTTACCAAATTGTCTAAAGAATTTATAAGAAAGTACAAGCTCTGCTGGACAATTTTTGACTACTTTTATTTTTAAGGAATCTGACATTTCGAGAAGATAATGGAATTACATAAGCAAGTTCTTTTCTCCAAATAAATTTCTCCCCGATTATATCACATCATTAAATGTCAATGGTACTCAGAAGACTTTGCAAATTTTTACACCATGGGTAAGCATCAAAATATTATTTGGCTGTAAATGACATATTTTGTGGCAATTTGTTGTGTTACACTGTGAAATGTGTTATGTTTATGTATAGTTCATAAAATCTGAATTTATTTATGAAATTACTTATTTATATCACAGAAAAATAAGGAAATGATCTGCCGTTTGTGCTTGTGTGATACAGAAAATTATTTTGGGTTTTTTGATTCTTATGGTCTAAATGTTTCCGCTGCTAGTATTGTTAGTAAACATTTTTGGTTCGAGGTAAAAATCATATAATTTTTTAAAAGAAAGTCTGCAAAGTTTATTTACTGTTTCTTTAAGCCTAAAATAGACGATTCCATGTCAATTTACATATGTGTATCATGTTGGGAAACAGTTAAACATTTTAATGATCTCTTCAACACGGTTCAAAAAGCTCATAATATATTAAATGAGAACGTTCTTTTGATCAAAAGTGACCCTGGCGAATCCGAGCTCTTAAATAATGACAACCCAACAAATGAAATTATATCTGATAATAAAGATGCAGAGTTTGATTGGGATCGTCTAGATTTTGACAAAATTAATTCTGATTTTAAAACGGAAGCTATTGATGGTATAATTTTCACGTTGAATTAATAAGATATTTTTTTAATATTTGCTAATTAAGGTGATGAAGTAGAAGAAAAAGTTAAGTTGTCCGTATTGAAAAAAGTTGAACTTGAATCTGAAATCAAAACTGAAAAGGTGAGATTACGAAAAAGGGGTCGAAAGCGAAAAAAAAAATTAGTTCAATTAACATCAGACGAAGAAAATGAAACACAGAAAACCTATGATAATTTTGATAGCGAAAGAGAAAATGGACAAGTTAATGACAAAAATAATTTTAAGTCTGAGGAAAATGCTCCAACAAATAAATTAGCAGAAGAAGATAAAAAAATCGCTACTTTTATGAAAATGATTTGCTCTGTATGCCAATCTGAATGTCACAGTTTTTCATCTCTGAGATGGCATTTCAATACAAAACATAAACAGAAAGGATTCGCTATCTGTTGCGATAAAAAATTTTTTAAAAGAAGTAATTTAGTAGATCATGTTGAGAAACACATAAATCCTGAAAGTTTTAAGTACTTGTATTCAAAAATTGGTATAAAATATGGGTTACTTATTATGAAAATATTTTAGGTGTAACTTATGTAACAAAATTTGTATTTCACGTTGGACATTGAAATTGCACATTTCTAGAGTTCATGAAAATTTAGAACCGGGACATCAGTGTTCTTTTTGTGGAAAATCTTTTAAATTAAAAACTATTCTAAAGCGGCATCAATTAATACACATGCCTGAAGAAGAAAAAAAATTTATTTGTAATGAATGCGGGAAAAAGTACAAAATTTATGATGACACACAAAATACGTAACTTAATATTTTTTTTCTTTTAGGTACCCTTCAAAAGGTACTCTTTCAAGTCATATTAGAATATATCACGATAGACGATATGCTGGAATGTGTGACATTTGCGGAAAAACCTATAACAATAAGGAAGACGTTCGACGGCATCGTTTAGAAGTTCATGAAGGTGTAGCTAAGGAAAGTGTTAAATGCAAAATTTGTTTCAAAGAATTTGCAACAAAATATCAATACAATATTCACAAAGTTGAAGAACATGGAGATCCTAATCAAAAACCTGAAAACAGATGCAAATATTGTGATAAAATTTCCGCAAACTCTGAAGCTCTTAAAAGACATATTCAAAAAGTACACAAAGCTAAATTAAAATTTTTCTGTAATTTTTGTGATAAAGTTTTTAAAACAGATTTGTCTTTAAAGGTATATACATATCTACAAAATCTCTCAATTTTCTTTTTATCATATATTCGTTATTTTATAATTTAAGGAGCACGAGACTACACATACAGGAGAACCTCTCTACGTCTGTCCACATTGTCCTAGAACGTTTACTCATAATTCTAATATGCACCATCATCGAAAAAGAGCTCACCCAGTAGAATTTGAACAAGCTCGTAAAAAAAAAAATGAAAAAAAGGAGACGTGGCTGCAAATTACTGCTTTCCAAAACTGAAAAACTAGATTTTTTTATTTTAAGACCACTGATTTATAAATTAGTAATGTTGAAAATAAAATAATGATAACAAATAATAACTTTGGCTTTTGGAAAAAAAAACAGAATGATTCGCATTTTTGAAGTAAAAAACGTAATGTAGGTTCATAATATGTGATTATTGAATTAGTTATATTTTACTAAATAATTTTTTTTAACACAAAAAAATTATACGAATGTATGTACATACTATAAGTAGCACAAATTAGAGTGTACTCGTTCAACATTATCAAAAAATTTTATTTTTGCATTTTGTTGTTTCTGTTGTCCTTAAATATCTCGGGATGAGCTTTTTCTTATGGTGATGCATATTTGTAGTATGGGTGGCAATCATATTTCAGAAACAATTTTTTTTTCAAAATTTCAATAATTAACTTAATCCTATTTTTTCTTACAAATACTTTATTGCAAAATGTACAATGTACTTTTTATTTAGAATTTTGCATTTATTGAATGTGACTTTTCAATGATTGGGAATTTGCTGATATTTTATTATAATTTCTGTGTTTATATTGAATTTTATATTCATTTTCTTCATATTTATGGGCGTTATAGCAGTAGTTTGATAAAAATTGTTTGGAATATTGTATTTTGTAAAGTTTTCTCGCAATTTAAATGAGCACATTTATGAATGATGCCAACTTCATGATCTTTGGAAACATGAAATCTGAGGGAAAATCTTGTGTAATTTTCTTCCGCAATAACGAGATCTAAAAACGGTTAAAATATGTTTAAAATTATTAAAAAATATAAGATGTAGTAAGTACATATATACTTAAAGTATGCAGGATTTAAGTGTGTTTAGAAATGATTTATAAGCAGGCTTCTTCTTATAAGCAGGCTAGCAACAAAACACATAAACCTTTTATTTTTGAGCTATAGAGTGTTTTTTCAATATGGAAAATTTGTAATTTGTAAATTGCAGAACAGCAATAAATTCCATTCGACACAAATATAAAATACTTTGTATCAACTGCTTCATTGGAACTATGTACATATTTATGCCAAGGTCACTGTTTTCCAAGTTATTTTCTAATGTGTTTTTTTCTTTAAAATATTAGATCTGCTATGTTTAATCATATTTTAAAATCTTCTATACGTTTCCAACAAGTTCTCCAAACTGCCATACGAGATTCTAACTATAAAATTAAGTATAAGGACGATAATTAAAAATTATTATATTACTCAACTACTTTAAACCAGAAATGTTTACCATTAATAAATGGTGCATTTAGTTTCAAACCTTCTTCTTCAAATATATTAAATTAATGCTTCAAGTTATCCAAACATAAAGGCAAGACTTTTTATAAACAGATTTTTTTACCGCAGTTTGTTAAGAAAGTGCAAGTTTTTAAAAAGATGCTTAATGAAATTAAATTAATTAAGATAGTAGATATTATTTGCAAATTATATATTTAACCCTTGTAGAACAAAGTCAATAAGTCAGAAATGTGTACAATGCATATATGTATTTATGTATGTATGTATACATAGTTTGTTTTTCTGAGGAAGTATATTATCATGGGTTATTTCATAAGTTTATAATGATTAAAATTCCAGTTTTCCATTACAAAAAATTTCTTTCGCCCATTAATTTGAAGCAATCAGACTTAACTTAAAAAGTAGTGAAAAAATATGAATGTTTTCTTAATGCATGTAAATACAACAAAAACAGTAATTTTATATCGTATTGAATTATATTGATGAAACATCGATAATTTTCCAAAATGCATATACTTACATATGTATATTATGTTAGTATATATTTAAATATGGTCTTAAATATGTGTGTAAAAAACAGGATGGAAATGGATTGTAAAACTCAAAACAAATAAATTGTATCGTATTAAATTAAGTTAGAAGGCTTTAAAAAGAAAATTTAAAAGTTTATATTTATATAAATGGCAAAAATTTTTGGTAGTACTGTAACTGGAGTACTACTATTACCTACTAGTCAAATACTAGTACTACTAATACCTACTAAAGCAAATCGTAATGTTTTCAAAATTTCATTGTCTTTAGTTAACAAAAAGAACTTACAGCTAATAATTATGTAATAGAAAATTTTAATTTTCATGTGCATTGAACGGGCAGAGTCGTAAAACAAAAAAAAAGGCTTTCGATATGTATGTAGAAACATAAGTACGTACATTACATACCCAAACTGTAACATATTTAACCTTACGGTAACGCATTATTTCACGTTTTTGGCATATCATTTGGTTCGAAATGTATTGCAAACTACCGCTTTACATACATAAGTGCAATACAGACTAATGTTTTACATAAGAGTACTTAAAATAAAGAAGTAAAGTATACGTATATATGTATAAAATTTTAAAATGATTTTTATTTATAAGTGTATCGTGACTTCAAAATTGTAGCAAGATGCAATTCAGTAATTTATTTTAAGTAATTTAAAATCTGCAATAGTATCCTTAAACTCTCTCCGCAAATTAGGGTTAATTATGTACACTATAAATGATTGATTTGTTTTGTCAATTTTTCACTAGGGAAACATTTTCCACATCGAAATTTGTTGTTTTTGCTTAATTCGTTACTATTTTCGAAACTCCGTGGGGGTTTTCTCTTGTCTTGTAGCAAAAATAGGCTTTATACATTATTTTAAAATTTGGGAATAAAAGAGTTATTTCAATTGGCTTATGTCAAATTATAGTTGTCAAAAAAACATTCAATAATAGTGAAACATTTTTGTGAAAATTACATATTTTCTTTACAATTCTACTTTTTATATAAATGTTATTTATAAAATATGTCATCGTGTAATTTTTACGCGATTTTCAAATTTTCAGTGATTTTTGTTAATATAAGTAAATTCCAAAAACTGTGCAAACACAAAACAATGAAGCATTAGAAAACACATCAGAAGTCTGACTATCGCAATCACAATCCCATCTACATCTTGCCATATAATTACAACCAGAACCTAAATGTTGTCCCAGCATAACTTGAACTACATGCTTGTATTTTTTCATGTTTAAATCTATAATAGCTTGATTTACAGTATCAGCAATTTCTTTTGCCCATAATTTAGCTGCTTCGGGATCATACTGTTTATCTATAAAAAGAAGACATTTATCTATTTGTATATATGTGTTTAGTAAAATCTTAATACAACCTTGTAATATCAATGATAATTTGTTTTGAATAATTTCTTTCACCTTATTTGTTTTAAATTTGTCTTTCAAATCGGGTCTCACTTGATAACTTTGGATGTTGTCATCGGATTGTGATTGTGCCTCCGTCATTTATGTCATAAAGGTGAAAATTGAAAAAGTATATTTAATGGCAAATTAAAAATTTAGTCTAATTCTACAATAGGATTTCTCCTAGACTAAATGTATAAAACAAAATTTCAACTAGACTATAATATCAGAACAAAACAAACGAATAAATCGAAACAAACTGTTGCTACAGTAACAAGCAAATATGTATACATATATTTTATCTATTTATTTCGAAATCATCAGGTTGCCATTCATTTTTGACAGCGTTCGAAGCGAGATCTTCTAACAAGTAGGTGAAATAGCTTAACAGTGGCTTCCCACAATAATATCATTCAGCCCTTTTGAAATTAATTAGGTTGAATGTATCCAAGTAAAAAATAAGTGTATTATTATTTCCCGAATAAAGTTTTCATCTTTTATTGACACATCATGCATTGTGTTTTTTGTTTTTATGTAAGGAAATAAGCAAACATGCGAAAAAGAGGGAATGCTGTAACATTTTATTTTGAGTTTTTGAAGTTTGTGAGACATATTTGGTAACACTATATCCCTTCTGATGAATGTTGGCTGACTGAAAATCAGAAAACGTCAAGAACAAGAATTGAAAATTTATTGTTTACTATAGAAACTTCATAATATTACAATATGTGTTTATATATAGCATATAGTATTATAATATGTGCTTATATATCAACATTAAGAATTGACATCGTTTGTGTGTACACTTAAGAATAATTTTATACTTTGAAGGCTGTTTATTAAATATATGCAGGCACTTACCTATCCACTTTAAAAATGAGATACTACTTGTATTATTTTGCATAGAATACATAACTCATCGGAAGGAAAGGAGAGATTTGCTTGGTAATTTTTTTAAAATTAAAAAGTTTTATACTTTTTACAAGATTGATATTATATGTACAAATTTTTTTGCACATCGGAAGAAATGCCAGAATATTGTAATAAAGCTACAACTAAATTTGTGTGATTACGTAATAAAATAATATTATTTACTAGTAATATTTATGTGTATCAGACATTTAACACTTAACTTAGTTTTTCAATTGATGTGATCGGGTAATCAATACATAAATTTATAATATAACAATGGCATAAGTTCAATTATACGCACATATATACATGCATACATAATGATAGCGTTAAAGAGTTTTACTATTTTGAAACTCATTTCTATTTCATAAAATAATCTTAAATTCAGGTATATAAGTGATACTCTCCTCTTTTTCAGAAAATCACTAGAGTTTGGATTGAAAAACTTGTTACGATAAATGTTTGAAAAGTATTAACAAAAAAGGTAATATAAAATGAACACTAAAGCTCTTTTGGGGATTATTTTTGTATTTGTTGGGTGTTGCAGGTAAGAATTAATAAAGCAAATGTTTGAAATATGGAACAAGAACTAATTGATTTACGTATTATTTCAGCAATGTCGTATTTCTAGAATTGTTAGTTAAGTAAGTATTTTAAATCCCTTAAAAATATTTGTTTTTTTTTGGATTTGTGTATATAATTAATGCCTTCCACTTTTTATTTTAAGGGAAGACCCGGGGTCGGGAAATTTGATAACTTTTTGTCAGTTTGCTTTTATATCGTTGGAGGGATTTATTTTTACATCAAAATTTGGAACTCAAAGACCTAAAATAGGTTTAAAAGATTATTTTATTCTCGTTGTTATGTTCTTCGTCTCAAGTGTTTGCAATAATTATGCTTTTGATTTTAATATTCCTATGCCATTACATATGATTTTCAGAGCGGTAAAATTCAATTAAAAATATATGTAGATATAAACAGCCTATGTTTAATTTTTAGGGATCTTTAATAGCTAATATGATCATGGGAATCTTAATTTTGAAAAAGGAATACGAGTTTTCAAAGTACTTATCAGTATTTATGATAACAGCTGGAATAATTTTGTGCACAATAGTCTCTGGAACAGAAGTGGTAAATATTTGATGATATTTAATAAACATTGATCTTTTACATTTTTGTTTTTTATTATATACTCAAAAGAAAGATACAAGCAATCCGGAACACGCTAAACTTAGGAATCTTGAATTAAGTTCAAACCAGTTTTCGGTTTTCTTTTGGTGGGCACTTGGAATAACTTTATTAACCGTGGCTTTATTTATATCAGCGCGAATGGGTATTTATCAAGAGGTTCTCTATAAAAGATATGGGAAACATCCTAAAGAAGCATTGTTTTATACAGTAAATTTAATTTAATATTTTATAAAAATAACTATTCAACTGTATATTTTCAGCACTTGCTTCCTTTACCATTTTTTTTCCTTATGTATAGGAATATATTGGAGCATGCAGCTATTAGTAGTTCAACAACGCCTGTTAGTTTACCAGTAGTTGGACTCCAAATACCAATAATGTGGTTGCACTTACTAGGAAATGTGTTGACCCAATATGTCTGCATTAGTTCTGTGTATGTATTGACTACTGAATGCTCTTCTTTAACAGTGACTTTAGTTGTGACTTTAAGGAAATTTGTTTCTTTATTATTTTCGATTGTATATTTTCAAAATCCGTTTACAATATTTCATTGGGTTGGTACAATTTTAGTTTTCACGGGCACTATAATATTTACGGAAGTGGTTCCTAGAATAAGATCTAGTTTAGTAACCGATAAAGTACAACATGTTAAAAAAATCGGAACAAAGAAAATTGATTAATTACAATAAATTTGAACTTTTTGGCTAAGGAACATTAATTAAGATTTTGTTGAATTTATTTATGTAAAACTTCGGCATTAAAATTCAAAAATTTTTGTTTTTGAAAATTTTATATGTATGTGCATGTGATACAAATCTTAAGCTAAGTATATGTAGATAAATTTTTATAAGATTGTATATATGTGTAGTTAATAATTTTTAAAACGTTGCACTTTTTGTTGAGATAATTTTTAAATCTAACTTAAAATCGAAAAATTGGCTCAATTTTAAATAAATTTTTGGGATTTGTAAACAATTAAAAGATTTTTGTTTTTAATATAAATTTGATCGAAAATGGAAATAAATTGAAAAATCTTTCAAGTCTATATTTAATTTAATTAAATTTAAATTTCATTTTGTCTATAGACAAGAATTGGACAAAGGTAATTTCATTTAAACTTTTGAAGAACGCTGTACTTACTTGTAATTGTTTTTTATAGAAATAAGAGAAAATCAGATAACAAAAGCCAAGAGATGTTGATATATTTGTTCATAATTCCTCACATTTTTTAGTCTCATCTCTAAGCTGATAGAAATATTCATCTTATTAATTTATTCCATCTTGATTTACTTTTATGGATCGACTTAGAATATGGATAAATAAATTTTATTTTCGCCATGCTCTGTGTTTTATAAGTATAAGTGAAAACATATATGTATGTATTATCAGAAATGTATGTACATATGTATTTCGAGGCAGTTTTCCTTGGACTTTATTGAAGGATTTATATATTATTATCACAAGAAAGATTTAGTCAATCAAACCCATGATTTGTGAGATATTTTATTTCAATATGCAGGTATTATGTTTTTAGATATGTATATATGCAATACAAACGAAAGATCTATTGAAATAATGCTCTTATCAGAAAATAATGTTGCATAAATTTTGGAGCAACTTTAGAGTAATTATTTTTGAAAAATTACTAATAAAAAACTTCTTTGCATTGCTAGTTAATTTATTTACTGCATAATGTCGCACTCATAGAGTTTAGGTATCGAAGAAATGAAAAACCTAATTTTTTTTTTGCAAATTTTATGGGCAATAACTCCGTAGAGGAAGAAGACACAAAAAAATTTCGTTCTTGTAAAAAATTATCAAATTTGAGATTACTCCGACTTGTCGTGTTGCATAATAATATAGAAATAGTTGAATGATGAATTCATTAACGTGATGTATAGTTTTATAGTCTTTTATAATAGAAGAAGTAATCTCTTGTAGTTTTTGATAGGTTTCTGCCAAAATTGTTATTCTCACAACTTTGGTGAGTTATAACCTGAGAAATATTTATTTCAAGAGAAATATTTATTTCAAAGAAAAATTGCCTTTATCAAATTCTTTTTGTATACTAAATTTATAATATATAAGTTTTTTAAACAGATGGACAGAAATGGTGAAGCAAATTTTTAACACTTTCCCAAAAAGTTTTTGAAAAAAAGTGCTTATTAGTTTCACTCTGTCCGTCCATTCGTCTGTCCGTGTGTCTGTTTACAAAACTTCTGCACCCTTGAAGATAGAAAGCTGAAATTTTGTACGTATATAGATCTTTACTAGAAACTTATTTCCATAGAACAAAATTTTTACCTATCTTTCTCCCTCTAGAAGTTATACCCCCCCCCCCCTCCCCCCAAAACCCTAAAAATGGCCTTTTTTAACTATTTGTTGCAATGAAACCATAAGCATTTTTGAAATTTTGCAAACGCAGAAAGACAGCGGCTTGCTTCCTCTAGCGCGGTATACTATAGCTTAACTTTATAAAAACAAAATGGCCGTTCAAATTTACCGTTATCTAAAGTCTTTTTTTCCAAATTTTTGATGTCGCTTTTCTTCTAGAAAAGCTTCATTTCAATAGTTTAGAAGAAAATTTTTTTCCCTCTCCACCCTCTCTCAAGTTGTCGCCTCTTGAAATTTGTAAAATTTGAATTTTTGACACCTTATATCTCCGAAACCGCAAGCTATTTCAAATTTCTATAAACGTAAAAAGCTAACGGTAAATTCCATAACATTAAAAAATATAATTATTTTTCTTAACTCACACAATTAACCCTTAAAATCGAGGATTATATTAACCGCACTTTATATTAATTTTTGCTTTATTTCAAAGACTGCATGTATGCATCATCCTAAATATACGCAATCCTAGAAATAGTTTTGTATATGAATGAAAATGATTTTAATAGTGTGATAGGTATACATACTCGTAGATTGTAAAAGCAGAATTTTCATTTGTTGAAGGGAAAATTGCTACAATACAAACCATTGGTTTGACCCAACTTTATTTAATACAGTTTTTTAAAAATTTGAAAAGTACAGACAATATTTTGTATATGACATTTTCATTTCCAATTCAAACCATATTTAAACCTGTTGAAGCATAGTTAAACGTAAAATACAAAAATTCACACATTTTTTTTTCAATTTTTTTTATTCACTTCATTTGAAGAATTATTTTTGTTTTTTTTTTTTTGGCTTTTTTGTAATATTGATTTTTTAAAAAAAATATTAAAAAAAGTTAGTGAGAAAATACTTTCATTTTATACATTTAAATTTATATATACATACAATATTTTATATTTACAAGTTGAATCAACAGTAGCATTTGAAAGAAAAGAATTTTAACAAAATTAAAAAAAAGTTGTAATAATATAAAATATTAAGTTATACCTTTTAAATTTAAATGAAATCAAAACTTAAGTATGAAATTATGAGCAATAATGACTATGAAAGAATGGTAGAAAACATAAATGCAAATGGATCGTCAATTTCCAAAAAGAAACCTTAATTGTTAAGAGATAGAAAAGCAATAAAGTATGAATACATTGACTGCCAAATTGCATTTTACGATCATTTTAGAAAATCAAAAAAAAATTTGTAAAAAATTAAAATTATTTTTCAAACTTTTAAAATTTACAATTTCTAATATTTAAACACTTAATTTAAGTAATTTATGTGATGGTGTTGAATGAAAGATATTTTTAAATTAATTCAAATTTTGTATGTCGCCTTTTTATGCACTAACATACGGAAGGACAAATAAAAAAAAAAATTCAAAAAATTTATAATGCTAAGATCTAGTTTTTCTTGTCTTTTTCACCAGCTTCTGATTGTTCGGGTTTACCAACTTCAGGATATTCTAATTTAGCACCGTCTTCGCATGTGAATTTTGGACAACAATATGGGAATGGAGCAGTTTTATTTGTTTTTTCGGTGTCTAATTTACATTTATCATTTGCTAATGGTAAGGGTCCACAATCTTCAACTAACTCCAAAAGTCTATATATATATATATATGTGTAAGAAAACAGAAATAAGTTATATAACAAAATAAATAATTGAATAGTTTATATAAAATATAGTTTAAAAAATTAAATAATTTAATGAAAAAACACACTAAACAAAAAATTTTACCTTGGTGGATTATCTTCTGATACAACACATGTTGAACGACCGCAGAATGGTGTTAAATCCCATGTTTTACCAGGTTCAACTGTTGCACATCTGGTAGATGCAAAGCACATTCCAGGGAAATCTATAAGAATAAAATAACCAAGAATAAATATATATTCATACTTCTTTCGATTTTGAATAAATTGATTATAAGTATTTTATAGTATAATATACCATATGAAAATGTGTATAAAGAGCAAGAATTGAATTATGAATGCTCTAGTTAGTTTTGTGTTACAATCCTACTTTTTATTATACAAATAACTTGATATATGATACCATAAACTTATTTCCAATCACTAAAGATATATCAAATGGAGTACAAATTCAGATATTGCATCTGTTGTCTGTTTGAATTTAATCGTAAATTTGGTTATATAACAAGTCGCAGTATGAAAAAGACACAAGAATTAGATTTTGAAAACTTTTATAATTAAAATGTCAGTAACTTTTCTTTTATACGTTAAGACAAGAATTCGGGTCAAAATCTGTAGTTGGTAAAGTAGAGAAATTTTCTTAAAAAATTTGAATTGTTATAAAACTAATTTTATAGTAAAGTTTATTCTCTTAGTTTGTGTTCTTATTGCAATGCCAACAAAAAAAAGTCGAGAAATATTGGAAACACCTATTTAAAAAAGCATTTATCGTTCGCTTTTTATATAGAAATAATATTTAATAATGAAAATAGTTTTAAAAAAATTATTATCAAAAATTTAAAGTTTGCTTATTTTCAAAAACGACAAGGAAGTTTGAGAGAGGAAGTATAAGACAAAAAGAGTTTTTTTTTTTGTCTAAAAGTTATTTGAAATATCAACTTTGCAGATCTGCCTTGTTGCCTATTTTGAAAATAAATTATTTACTTCGAATAAAATAATAAATTCAAAGTATTTACAAATAAATGCACAAAAATAAACGAAAAATTATTTTCTTGAGTAAATTTTAAACAATAGTTATAAAGTACACCTTTCACTTTCATTTGTACCTAAATAAATACATAAGAATACATAAAGAAATAATATTATCAATTTGTTCGAGTATATTATATATGTACATTGTGTTAACCTATGTCGCAAATAAAATATGAGAGTTCAAATAGGAAAGGAGTTTTTAACCATAATTTATTGCTATTTATGGCATCATATTGTTTGTGTTTGTTAAAGGTGTATTGTGAAGTACAAAATATATTTTAATTATGTTCTTTTTTAGTTTGTAATAATTTTAATATAAAACTTTTTTATTTACTTCGTAAGTTTCCATTTAATTTTAGCATTGAAAAAATGAGAGGCACATTTAAAACAAATGATGATAAATATAAAAACTAAATGCTACATATGTATATACTTATGTAAAATTTGCTTATATAGAAACAAAGTTAATTTGCACACAAACATGTATATGTACATATGAAAACGTCATCTGAAACCAAAAAGCTTACTTTCACTTAGGTTCAGAACTTGTTTTTTTTTTTATTCCCGTTGAATCGAAGTTTTGATTTTAATGTTTTTGTACTTGAGGTTTCCTATATACATGTCTGTCTACAATAATATTAACAATGGATGTATAAATATAAGTAATACATATGTCCTAAATAAAGGGATAAAAAAAGATCTGAGTACATGATTAATTGATGCAGCATAATAGTATGTGATTTGATATGCATGGAGATTTTATAACTAATGTAGAAAGGGGTTTATTACTTGGTTACTTAAACTCTTCTGTTTTAAGTAACAATTTAAGAAAAATATTTTGGAAATTTTATATAATGTTTTATTTTTTTCTACTGAAAAGTTCGGATTAAAACAGTATTGCCAATTGTAATACTTCAGAAATTGAAATCTTAAAATTGCAGTAATACAACCATTTATATGTATACATAATTCAGCAATTGTAACTTAAAATTGTGTTTTAATACAGATTAACAGCAATTATGAAGTCAGGTATAGTTGTTAGACTTCTATACCAAAAATTGAAAACCATAAAAAATTAAAGCAATACAAATTTTATTGGTGAATAAAAAGAATTATAGGTTTGCTTGCTTTTATCAAAATTTATTAATGACTTTAATAATAGTGATGAACTAGAAATTTCCACTATAGATTATATGGAGGTATATATGTATGTATTTAAAATACTACTATTTTTTGATAAGCATTATAAATAAGAATTATGCATATATATATATTTGCCAACATATGGGGGTTTTTAAATTAAAATTCATAAAAACTGCAATTTTCTTTATTTTAATTATAATTTACCAGACACACTATATTCGTTTAAAAGGTGATGTAAGGGTGTCATACATTTTCAATATATCTTATTTTTCTTTTTGTTATAATTTTTTTTGTTTTTTTTTTAGTGCAATATAGTGTTTATTATTCACATAAAAGACCACAAAAAATTTTAAGGTGGCATTTAAGAGGTGATTTTTTTTTTAACCAATTCTTTATTGCATCTGGGTAATGTTATAGTTTGCAATGAGATTATATACACGTACGAGTATATTGTCAAACAAAGAACAACCTCGATAAATAAATCATATATATATTTATGTATATATACATGTACATATATGTATGTGCATGTAAGTAGATAAATGCACAATATCTTAAGTAAGTAAAATATAACTATAAAGGTGTATTATAAATCAATTTATATAATATATATTTACAAACATATAATGGTAGATAAATGAATGTGCTATGTGTACAATGAAAAAAAGAAACGTATGCGGTATGAACGCTTAGGAAATATTTAAACGCTGGTTGCGTAACATTTTGCTTTTTTCAATTTTCTTGCATTTTCAATTTGTTTTTATATTTTTTTTTTTTTTATTTTGGGTTGTTCATTGTTTGCCAATGTTGTTTTACTTTTATTTCTTTAAAGGCGCTTTTTTTTGCAATAATTTAAATTTATAACTTCTAGAAATGGTAACAGTTACACTTAATACACTATGTTATGCATATTAATTGTCTAGGTATGTGTGTATAAGTTGACATCTTTGCTATGTACGAATGAATGTATGTTTAACATTTAGTAGAGGTTTTAATGACGTGAAAACTTTTAAGAGGTTTTACTTAATTTGATATTTAAAATCAAGATTGCATTTACAGATTATATAACCTTTTTTTTTTGCATTATATATGTATTCACACAGCATTAAACATTTTATGATAGTTATTCAAATATAAAATTATTTAAAATGATTTCATAAAATTGTTGTGGTAGAAGTGTTTTCTTAATGTTTTTCGTGTTAGATTGACAAATACGAGGGAATTAAATATGTATGTTATAAGAAAGAACAAGTTGGAAACAATCGTTAGTTTGTTAACAAAGATACCTTAATTTTATAATAGTGCCTTGTAGTTAAAAAGAAAAAACAAATTTTTAAAGTGCTAACTGCCTAAAGATTCTTATTCTTTTACTTCTATACTTTTAAGATTAGAAATTAATCAAATTCATATTAGACCATGTATATGTAAAAATGATATTAGACAAAAATATTTTAAGAAAACATGATGTGCTTATATATACAAGTCTGTATGTAAAAATTTATGTTTGACAAAAATTACATAACATGCAGAGCTGAGAAAAAAATTGCATATTGTATTAGGAAAAAGTAAATTTGTTGTATTTTTTATAAATAATTTAATATTTTTTATAAAGAATTTTTACTCTACATCCTTGATTTTTTTAAATATTTCGCCTTTGTTAAATCTGTTTTTTTATTTCTACACTTCTGATAATGCCCAAAATCGAAAAGTAGCTTTTTTATCATTTGAATAAAAGAATCAATTTTTCATTTGTAATATGAATTTTTTTGTATCCAACAAAATTATTGAATAATTTTTATTATTACTATATATCTTACTAGTTTTAAAATTTTAATTTCTAATAAGGATTTTTTAAAACTTCATAACTGAAAATAAGATAAACATAATACTAAATTATATAATCACACTCATACTCTCTTAAACGGATCATTAATCATACCCATAATCAATAAACCGACGAATAAAGTAATGGAATAATATTTAAAAAACCTTGAGTTTTACCGGTATTATGAATTTCAAATTTTAAAAATTCGAAAGTCTAGGAGAATATAAGTGAAAATTCATAGAATTCGATTACAAAATAAAACTGTATCAGATTAAAATTAAAATTTTAAATTTCGATATTCAAATTTGGTTCAATTCGGTCAGTTTTGAGAGATGATCAAATTTATATGAGAAAAAAAATTATTTTACGACAAAAGATACTACTATACAATTTCAAAAATTTAGAAAATAAAAAAAAAAAATGACATAATTAATTTTAATTAAATTCAAATTTGAGTCTAAAGAATAATATTTTGATATTTAACGAAAATCCTATTTATAATTTGGCTTCTAAAGGTCACATTATATTGTAATCAATCACATCTCTCTATCATTAAAGATCACATGAAGAATAAAGTAAGATATAAGACGGAATTTGAAATTGAATCGACGTCCATTATAGACGTTACATTAAATTTTACAATTTTTAAAAATGATTTCACTATAATTTCGAGTACTCCTTTAATTCTAATGCTTTTTCAATTTTTATAATTGTTCACATATTTTCCATAATTTTAATTTTTATTTGAAAAAATTTACCTCTTAAGACATCTGCTGGTATAAGCCTTTTAAAAACTTTAACTTCTTCTTCATCTTTTTTTTCTTCAGCTGTTAAAACGACAGCAAAGAGTGCAATAACGCATGTTAATCCAATTAAAGATTTCATTTTGTATATTTAAATATAATAATTTTTATATTATTTTGATTTTATTAAATTAGATTTTTTAAAATAATTAAAATTATTTTTAATTTTGTTTTTGTATTTTAAATATCACAATTTTTATTTAAGAATAAGTTTGGTTTACTTTTTCTTATATTTTTGATTTATTTTTATACTGTGTGTGTATGTTGAACGAATTGGGTTCTTAATAGTTCAAGTTGAAAAATTAAACTGCGTTAATTTATGTTTTATCACAGATATTTCACCGTTCAGATCTCGCTCGTATGAAATATATCAGCTATGTATATTTATATAATTGTAATGTGATGTATTTACATAAAGAATTATATAAAAGAAAAACAAGAGCTTTTTTATTTTAATTAAATTTTTTTTTGCACACTTAATTTGAAGCAGTAATAAAAAAATAAAATAGAGGTTTAAATTTATGACAATCCTTAATATGATTTAAAAAATGATTTTGGTGTAATTTGCTTATTTATAAATTTTATTTTGAATTTTTTTTTTTTGTTTCTTAATTTTCTAAAATGTATTTAGTGAAAGTTTGTTACTGAAATGATTGAAAAGCTTACTGTAATACCGGTATTTATACTGGCGGTACACTTTATCATTCATTTTTTATTTTCAACTTAACGTTTACGCACAAATACATATGCAAAAAAAAATATTTCAATTTTAAATAAAAGTGTATCGGATTTTATTTTTATGTACAAATTACTCTTTTATATATTCATTCATATAACATAAATATATGTATAACTACAGATATGAAAACAACATTAAGATAAAAATTCTCTCCCACCACTATTATATGGAAGGGGTTTTAATTTTTTTTATTTATATTGTTTTTTACATACTTTACAACAGTTTAGGTATATTTTCATGTTGTATATTTACATTATATACTTACATAGGTATACATATATATTATACTATGGATAAATATTATTTCGCCACATGAATTTTTCCACCCAAAATAAAATATAGTTTACTTATAAATAATATAAATATGTATGTTATTTCTATAACTATATAAATTTGTATATATGTTATATGTATAAACAAAAAATCATACCTTTTAAATTAGGTTCTTAAATATATACATAAGTAATTCAATATTATTATGTACATACTGTGTACATGTATGATATATATTTACATATAAATATTTATGACTCTTTTATACATTTAGGGTTGTTATAAAATAAATGTTGATTATTCTTATATATTTATATAATATGTAAACTATTGTAGATCAAGAGATTGTCTCTAAAGCTTGAAAATTTTACAAAGTTTTGCTTGAAATTTTTTTGAAAACTGTAAAATTACAATGAAATTTAAATAAATTGAGCTACAAAAGTTAATTTTTTTTAACAAAAATTTATTTATCAAATATAATATTTAATATAAACATTGTTATTTAAAACGTCAATTTAACATGGTTTGTAAATTATTTTTGAATATATAAAATAAGCTCTTAAAATTACATTAAGAATTAGATTCATATGAAATTCAAAATTCATTGTAAAACCATACCATATCAAATACATATGAATGTATGCATACTTATAGGCTAATTTTATTCGAAAATCTCGAATTTTTAGTTTTTAGTTTTTGTCAAAGTTTTTACCAAAGTTGTCACAATTGTTTATTAATATTAGTCATGGTTGAATAGTATAATGGTTTTGCAGCTGAAAAATCAAAATAAAAAGATCTTTTTGGAAATTTTAAAAATTTTTTTCAAAAGCTCAATTACGGCCCCGTTAAGAATGGAATAAATAGGCTTTTAAAAAAAAAATATTGAATCTTACCAAAAACCAAAAAAAGAATTAATTTTAATATTTACGTACAGTTTCTCATTCGCTTTTTAGAAACTTACTTTTTGTTTAATTTAAATAAAATTTCCTAAAATATGTACATTGCACATTGTATATACAAACACATTGTAAAAAATTTTTAAAGTTCAACCGTTTTAAATTATTACAAGACAAAAAAATACAAAAAACAAAAAACTTAAGAGAGAAACGTTTTGCTTTTTAAACGTTCCTTTTATACGATTCAATAATAAAAACCTGGTATGATCGGCACATGTTCGAATGCAATTTTACAAATTTTTTATTAATTTACTGTCATTAATTCAACGATTTTTTACCGCAGATTTTTATCTGAAAATTTGGTTATTATTTGGTTTAATTAAAGTAACAAAATTTATAACTTTTGTTCACATTCTGTTTTGAAAAGTTTGTGAATAAGTTGTTCTTATAAGTAAAAGTTAAATATTAAATGATAACAAGTGTTACCAGTAATGTGTGATCAATAATTACAGTATGATTAGAAATTCCGATTTCTAAGCGAAAAATTTGTTAGCTGAATTATAAAGAGTTTAAAAATTTCAAAGAAATCTTTTGGTTTTTCTTTGCATATTTGGAAAAAGAAGCAAATTTGGTGTTTAATAAAGATGCAGCTCTCTGAGGTGTACACGAAATATTCTTAAAGTCAATCAAAAATAAAATACTTAGCCGAAATAAACTCAGATGTAAATTTTTATTAATATCGGTTCATCTGAAATACACGAGTCACAAACAGAACGACAGACTGACAAATTAACAAATAAACTTATGAATTCGACCATATCCCCCGATAATCTGACATGCAAAATTTTTACGATCACAATACTTCCTTTGTAGTAAAGCAATGTGTTCGGTAAAATATGTCTATAATTGTTAATAATATAATTAAATATAATATTTTTACACATTGCATGACTGATTTAATGCTTGTGTACATTCAATATTCATGTATACAAATATTAAAATGTGGTTTGCTTTATTCTTAGAAAAGAAGTTAGATTCAGTAGAAATAATCAAAGTGCAGAAGTTTTCCTGATTTTATGTTTTTTACTAAAACTTTTTTAAAGTAGTTCTTAATAAACTAATAACATAAAAAAATAATTATAATTATATAATAGTTAATTGTTGAATTCAACTTTTGTTTTCATTTTTAATTGGACGACAATATAATGTAAATAAATCGACATACATATAGAAGTAATATAAGTAACAAAACGTTCCGCGTAGTATATACGTATATGTGCATAATTATGTGCATTTTAAATGAAATAATAAAAAATTGTTTTTGTTCGCTTAAATTGTTCGCTCTACAAAAAAATAAACTGCGATTTTGTAGTTACAATTCACTCACAGTATGTTTTATGATTTCAATCACACATGCATATACACACACCTATATGAAATGAAAGATTAATTACAATAAAATTATAAAGAAAATAGTGAATTTTATTGGTGAAAATATGTTAGTTAAGTGACTTAGCATCATTTATAAATATTAGAAACTATTTATAAATAATTTGTAAAACAGTCATTGTTATGTAGTTAGAGAATGGTGTTACATTACAATAATTATTATTACATATTATTTTCTATTAAAATTGTTTATCATTAGCAGATAGTCAAAGTTGTCTAGTTTGTATAAATATTGATTTCAATAATTTTAAAGAAAAAAAACTTGCACCTCTTCTACTACAATTCAAAATATTAACAAAAATATAATCTTTAACAATAATTGAAAACAATATGATGATACTTTTAGTAGCGTATTTAAGAGTTTATTAAAAGCCCAAAATTTCAATATCAAAAAAATAAATTTTCCGTCAGTTTTACATGTAAATTTTATTCGTTGTACTACATTGAAATTTTACGCAAATTTCAACATTATTTATTTTCATGAACATAAATTTTGAATAATATTTTAAAACCTTTACTTTATTCGTTTATAGTTCCATCAGTTGATTTTAATAATGCTCTCAAATTTTCATTTGAATTGGAGCATATCTTGGTTAGGTTTTTTTTCGAAAAAAACTTATAATCAAGTCAGAAATGTACAAATAAGTAGAAACAAAAAAAATATTTTAAAAAATCATAGAAAAAGTTTTACTCTATAACTTAAAAATTTACACAATTTTTTTTTAATTTATGTAGATGTATTAATTATAAATACAGATTTTTAAATCAAAATTAAAATCACCCCCTTCTACTTCCCCATCAAAATTAAGTAATCAACTATAGATGTGAACTTTAAAAAATTTTACTAGAAATTGTAATTTTTTATTTTTGAATTTTTTATTTATATTAAATTGGCAATGCAAATTCGATGATTATGTAAATTATTTAACTTCATTATTAGCAAAATAAATAATATTATGAATATAGGCAGTAATAAATTATATAATTTTTTTTTTACCACCAAATACAATTCAAAAAACCTGGAAGTTTGTTTTGATATTTTATAGTTATAGTTAAAATATGGCTACAAATGAATGAGTAATCAAATAAAATATTATTAATAAATTTTTTATTTACATATTAAGATAAAATCACAGCATTCGAAAACAATAAACAAAAATGAAATTTCACTGAAAGGTGGTGTAGGTTCAAATTGTGATGATTTAACAAATAATAATAATAATAATAATACCACAACAATATATTTGTGAAAAAGTTAAACAGAGTCTTTGCTAGTATGGATTCATGTGAACATTTGATAATTGGGTGATTCATGATAAACAAAAAGTATTAAATTTGTAATAAAAATTATATAATGGTAATTTTATAAGCCCAAATAAATTTTATATGTATTAAAAAAATGTTATCTCATGGGGTTTTCAAATTTCAACAAGGTCATAATACAAATGGAAGGGAATAAAAAAATTGTATTTAATAGATAATGATGTCTTTGTTGTTAATTACTATTGAGCATCATTGTCACTAAGATGTACGAAAGTATAACTGTTTTTACATATAAATACTCTCTGTCTGTTCATCTAAAAATTTCAACTGATAAAAAAATTAAATGTTATATACAAATGTATTTGGGTGAGAAAATTACAAGATCGAATACCGTAGAAAGAAAAAGATTTCCAGCAATAAAATTAATACTACTTTAGTTCAGCTCTTTGTTAGTTTTTATTTTGACGATATTGCCTTGGTTCTATTTTGCAGTGTACTTCTAGGTATATATAACCTTAAGCGTTAGGATTACAAAAGTGAACTCAAGCCATCCACCAAATAAACTAAAGAATCCCAACCCCCACAGTAATTTTAATGTTTTTTTTTCGACTTAAATAATACACTAATTTTCAAAAGAAAAATTTTCATTTGTTTGACTTCGGAAACGTACTACTTTATAAACTATTAGTTTAAATTCTAACAACAATTCTTAAACAAACACGTTTATATATTTTGGGCATACGCTGTTTAAAAATGTTCACATTTCACATCGATTTTATGAACAAGCCAAAAACTCCCGAAAAAAACTGAAAAGGAAAAATTCTAAATTTTCAAAATTTAAGTAATTCGAGCGAAAATTCACAAGTAATTTGCAACTAATATTGCATTATACTTTTAAAAAATAAGTAATTGATCATTAAGTTATTAAGAAGTCCTGCTTCTTGTTTTGTAAATAAAACATTACAAATATAATTTCAATATATGCGGCCATTATGCAATAT